TTGCAGCATTACACGGCAAAATGTGACCCGTAGCGGATAGTCCCGCGGTAATAACGTCTGCACACGCCTGTAGTGATATGGGTGAAGCTTGTGACGTTTTAATATTCGATGTGCAGAACTTTTCGGGATTCCTATAGCTTCTTCTATGGCACGTACCGAAGTAGTCGAGTCATTTTCTATCTCCTTGAGAACTTCTTCATCACGATCCAATCTAGGTCTTCCAGCGCTGCTCCTATTGGATGGCATACGACCCTCCGAAAACGCTTGATGCACATTAATAAACACTCGATATTCAGGATATCTTTGAGCATTTGGGTATCTTTCTGGATACAGTCTGCTAGCAGCGTTAGCATTACATCGGCATTCTCCATAGATTAAATGCATATTAGCGTATTCCTGTGGTGTGTACGGTTGCGGCATGTTAAACGCCAAACAGTCCAAAATGCGCCAGAACTCTAAATCACAAAACACACAATCGTAGTCCAAGATAATGCCAGGTCAGTTCAGTTTGCAGATCACTTCCAGTCCAAATAATGCCAGGTCAGTTAAGTTTGCAGGTCGATTCCAGTCCAAAAAGCCAAGCCAAAAGTCGATAGTATGTACGAGGGCCACGTAAGTTGAATTGGGTACGGTGCGCAGTAAACAAAGGAGCAGAGCGTACTGAACCGACTTGCTGAGAATAATAACAGCTTCTCTACCTGCCCTGTTGTTGTCTCTTTTTAACGTAAATATCTCTATCTATCTATCTCTCTCTAACATCTAAGGTATTAATGCCCCATTCGAATTCCTAGAAATTGTAACAGGAACCCATTTTGGGCATGTAGTAAAAGTGATTACTGACAATTACAATTTAAGGAATTTGGCCCCTGTTAAGAAATAATAGGCCCATATTTTTTTATAACTTGTTTTCCTAGAGTATTATACCATTTTGGAATATTGGTTAGTTGCGTCAATTTTTAAAAAAACTTGCCATACTAGTGTTCATACTTTTTTTTTACACCACGATAAGTTAAATTTGGTTAAAAGTAAAAGTCTTCAAAAAATTTAGGGAATAAAATAAGTTTCATTAATTTTCGTGATAAAACAAGAGTTATTCTGGAGTTTTTAAGAATTGTGGTAGATAGCAGTACTATTCAGGTTGCCTATAAAAAAAAAAGAAAAAAATATTTAAAAAATTGTGGTCATGGTAGTGAAAAATATCATAAACGGTCTCAATTTCTGAAGAATTTCATTTTTTTATATAACTTAAAATATAATTGGGATATATTTTTTTTTCTTTTTTTACCCGATTAGTCCGGGGCAGGTCTATCCTCCGGTGTTGGCTTATCCTTGAATTTTGGGACACGTTGTATATATATATATATACACATATTTTTAAATTACTCTTTCTGCTCGTACTCTTAAGTTATGATTTTTAAGTAAGAAAACTGTAATTAGCTTTAATTTAAAACTAAGTTAAGCTTGTATACTTCTATTGTAATCATGCCGTAGTTTTCTAATAAATAATATGTTTTGGATCCCAAATTATTCGCTCAGCTTGATAGAGTTCCAAGAACTGCAGCGTTTCTTCTTGCGACTAGTCCATTTATAATTGAAGTTGAACGTGTAAACCCAACAAAACAACACAACCTGCACGGAAGGGCGCCGTAAACAAACTGAAACGAGAGCGCGAGTGTAAACACCACGCTCGCGTCCCTCGCGAGGCCCTTTGCCTCGTGCCCAAAAAACCGCCTCCGACGCGAGCGCCGCGAGTGGCGAGGCGAGCTGCGAGGCGAGCCACGAGCTAGCGTTTACACTCGCGCCTCGTGGCTCGCCTCGCGACTCGCCTCGTCGCTCGCGCGAGAGTGTAAATGGGGTATAACATTTTTTTATTTTCTTTGTTAATATCGCAGTATCATTTTATTTATATATACTTATTGTACAATTATTAGAATACTTGATCTACCCTATCCCATAATGCCAATAACGTTATATGAATGTTAAGCATTTCTAGGCAAGAATACCTAAAATATCGACATACTTAGTTCTAGAGTGTAATCTCCCGGGCGGCAATAAAATGTGGCAAGATGGCCGCCCGCTTTAAGGTCCGTTTACACGATTATTTGAGCATGGGTATATATACGAGTATATAAAATATAATTAAAAAAATATGTTTACAAAAACTTTAAAAATTTAGTATAAAATTATATGTATAAAAAAATAATTAATTTAAATTATATATGTATATATATAAGAAGAGAATGTATAATGGATTCTGCATTGATGATTCTGTTTTTATGTTAAATACCGTAATGAAATTTGCTGTCCTACTTACGATATTGTCGTATCATTACAGTGTAGAGAAAAGATAAAGTGAAATTATTTAAGCAAAATTTTTTTAATTTGTTCGATTTGTATTAAAAGTACCCGCAAGTATTTTCATTATTTCTTGACGTACCTAAATATGTTAACAAATGTCAAAAGAAATGTTGGAGGCTTTCTAATTAACTTGTTCAAGTTTTGTTGTAATTTGATAGTTCACGCGAAATATGATTATCATCTGTTATATTATGAAATTCAAAACGTTTAAGTGATGTACCAAAATAAAGGATTAACTTTAACATGCTAGGAATTGAAAATAATAAGTAACATTTTTGTGTTCTAATGTGTTGATCAGTGTTGCAGTTTGCTTCGAATCCTGTGTTGTCGACAAGATTGGGGTTCGATGTCGAGAGATTCGTAGAAATCTCTACATCAATGATCAATGAGGAAGATGTTGTGACGGCTAATCGAACATGGTCAGGAACGGCCGAGCGCTAGTAAAATTGAGCCTACACCGCTACAGTCGGTAACTTATCGGCTGATCTTACGGCAAGGCAATTCAAGCGGCCGCCGAACAAATGGTGCTTTAGCGCTCTAAATGGACGTCTGAGGCTTGGACGGCTTTCGTAGATTTTGCGCGGTTGCCTCCTTCCCTTTGAAATATGTTGTAGTATTTGTCTCTACACATAGTTTCCCTTTTTTGCAATGTTTTCAAATGGCATACAGTTGCCGTTTCTTAAGAGAATCTCGGAATTCCATGGTTCGCAATCCATTTATCTCCATTTCTCTTAATTTTTAATTTTGCAAAGCAGTGCGACGATTCGCTAGCGCCAGTACGGCGCGACGGCTCGCTAGCGCGAATGTGGCACGAACGCAGCAGAACGGTAAGTTTGAGTGCGTTTGCCTGGAGGTAGCCATATCGGCGCGTCCATGACTTAAATGAAGTCTGGGATGGTCGACCGTTGTAATATTTAACAAGAGTTAATATCTGTTAGCAGGTGGTGATAACTGATAGACCGTATGCTGTTCACTGTCAACCGCACGAGGACGTGCGACACTCTGAGGTAGCCGTGTCTGTGCATCTAGAAAATGCTAGAGACATTGCAACACTCTAACGAAGTAATTATTCTAGAGCAGGAAAGGAACATGAAGTTGCAGGGAGGCTGGTCTGTGCTGCACTGGGATATGTGTAGAGTTGCTGTTGGTTTACATACTTAGGTGTTATCATGTCACTACGTCCCTCACGATACACTTTTGTGTGATTGTGACGGGGACATGTTTGCGGTATGGTTGGTCTGTAACTGTTCTATACTGAATTGAAAAAAAAAGAGAGTAAGAAAAAAAATGTGGTTCTTACTATCATTACAGGGCGTTTGCCGGTCCAATGATATAGCTACAGGGAATAGTGATTCCGGACTAGCATAAATAGTACTGAAAAAAAAGAGATTAAGAAAAAAGAATAGTTCTTACAATCATTGCAGGGCTTTGTGCCGGTCCAGTGATATAGCTATAGGGAATAGTGATTCCGGACTAGCGAAAACAGTACTTGAAAAAAAAAAGAGAAAATAGAAAAAGCTACAGACTAATCATTCCGATCTAACATAAAGATGATTAAAGTTTTGTAGGGCTTACTGCCGGAACAAAACTGACTGTCACCCAAGTCTGAAGGGTCAATATAGACCGGACCAGACGCGTTATGTCAGGATAATCGACCGATGTTTTTTTTTGTCTACAGATAAATAAAATTGTGATGGAGCGCGTGCGAGGACGCACGCATGTCAGTATGGCCGTGACGGCACCTGCACCGTTGTAGGTGCGGTGGCGTCGGTCTATCTAGACAGAATTCTTGTAAACGACACGTGTACCGCACACCTGCGGCATTGCACCTGCGTTGCCGCCCGTCCTGCTTGTATAAAACGGACGGAGCGGCCGCCGTTAAGGCAGTCTTGGCTCTGACGTGGAACGGTGCGCTTGTCGTATTCCGTTACTAGTTTATCCTCGACTCGTTGTATAATTAATTCGTGTAAACTAATTAATTATTATTCCTAACTACAAAATCAGTCTCTGTACTATACCCTCTATACTTCCTACATATATATAATTTATTGGTTAAATTATATATATATGTAGAAAGGGTAATTGTGTATAGTACAGAGACTAATTTTGTAGTTAGGAATAAAAATAATTCGTTTACTCGAATTAACTATCCAACGAGTTAACCGCACCGCAGGTGTGCGGTACATGTGTCGTATACAAGAATTCTGTCTAGCTAGACCGACGCCACCGCACCTACAACGGTGCAGGTGCCGTCATATATATATATATATATATATAATTTAACCAATTATATATAATTAGCGAAACTCTGGGGGAAGAATCAGTATTAGAGATATATTCAAAAAAGTTTTATTTTAATCCGTCTTTTTTACTTTTTGGAAAAATTAATTCGCTGTAGGCTCATTCTGTCTGTTTTCTGTCTACTGAAGGCCTCGGCGTCCTCGCTGTGAAGGAATTTACAAAAATATTGAAAAATATTGTATTTAAAAATTTAAAAAAAGTTGGATCTCAAAAAAGAATTCTTTCGTACTGTATCCCCGATAGTGATCGTTCCCCTGGAGTTTAGTTAAATAATTTGAAATAACATTGTATATTTGATATAAAAAACATACGTATATTATTAAAAAAAACAATTAAATATTCTAAGGCTTGTGATATGCCTTAAAACACCCCTCAATGCAAAGGTTGACATCACATTCCTCGCATTTCCAAATTGTCCTGGTCTTTTTAGGACACATCCAGTGTTTTTCGACCCTGTACGAACTGGGAAGTGGTTAGCTTCAACCGTCGGTCGGACTTGCGTCTTGTGTCGAGTGTTAGGTCTTATTAGTGTCGTCGTCACATGTCTAGTCGTATTCAATCTAATGTTCAAGTGTCGGTATTCTGTCATTAAGTCAATTTGTCTATGTTTCCTAATTAAATCTTCCGCCAATACAGTGCGGAATTGACGATGTGATGTTTTCCGGTGAAAGCTGGAAAATATCACAAAACAATTCAAAATTGCCGCATTGTATAAACGGCGGAAGAGTTTCTTATACCAAACTTTGTTCTTCATACGTTCCATAGGTTGAGCTGACAGGAATTGGTCTTTCCTGTCAACTCTTCCCATGCTCTTGTTATAGTCGAGAACTATGCTTGGTTTTTAAGTCTGTCTGTTGTACTTGTCCTGTGTTCCGACTTGGAGATTATGGTATGTAGAGATCATGCTAACTATGTTAGCGTCTCGCCATACCAGAATTGCTAAATCGGAACAGTACGTGGCCACTACTTCACCTTGTCGAAGATCTGTTTTTGTCAAAGTCTTGACATAATCAGGCACGAATTCCCGGTTCAGTCTGAATGTTCCATAACAGTCTGTCTTTTGTTTTTTTAGGCTCCGCAATAATAATGGACTATTATAAAAATTATCCATTATTACAGTATGCCCCCGGTGAAGCAGCGGCTCGATCAAGTCGTAAACAATTTTTGCCGTAGCACTCGTGGGGCGGTCTCCGCTTTCACTAGTCATAACTCTGTCAGTCGATGCAACAATCGCTCCGTCATTATTAGCTATGTCATTTGTCTCGTCATCAGCAAATCTGTCAATGGCCTCGTCCCTGACTGGTCTGTCATTAGTCTGTGTAGCCTGTCCGTCAGTGCTGTCAGTAGTAGTGTTTGTTTTATCTTTCCCAGCGTATACAAAAAACTTCCAGAGATAGCCACTAGAAGATTCGCAAAGCACGTAAGTCTTGACTCCAACTTGTGCCGCATTTGACGAAATCTTTTGTGCGAAATTCAACCTCCCGTGCCACTTAAGAAGAGATTCATCAATGGCTATCTCTTGTGAAGGCATATATATGGTGGAAAATTTATCATTAAAGAAGTCAATCACGGGTCGTATTTTACAAAGTCTAGTCGTGTCCTGACAAGTCTGACTGTCGACGAAATGGAGAAAGGTTTTTAGCAATAAAAAACGGTTGTAAGACATAATTTTAGCAAAATATGCCATTGTACCAAAGCCATTAAATGTGAAATAGACCTCTTCCTCCGGTAAGGGGTAGAGACCTTGTAAAATAATTATTGCTAAAAAACTTACAATTTCGTCCCTGTCTGTGGGAGACCAACGGTTAAATTGGGAATGCGGAGCTAGCATGTTTTGCTCTCGCAGCAAAGCAATCTTTTGCTCCGCATTCCTATTAGTTTCCCTACAAATGTGGTCGATAAAATCGAAGTCAAATGTCTTATCGAAAACGTCAATGACTCGAGTCTGTTCAGTTAGGTCAAAGTCGGTCCCGATGTACCCGTGAATGTCTCACGTCGTCCATGAAAAGCTGACCTATTCTTACTCCAAACGAAAGTGTAACAGTCGTCGGGAATGATGTCTCGTATAGCTTGGTCATTAGCGTCATCCTCCCTCCGTAACACTTCCGCTTGAAATTGTGTCAAGTCACTATCACAAGCGGGTTCAGTTGCAGCGTTACGTTCTTGAACAGTTGGAATGAGGCAACCGTTGTCGTCAATGTCTAAGTCATCATCACTATCAGACGTCATGTCAGTCATTCGCAACCACTCGTTCATGACACTGTAGAAATTTTTGTCGTGAACACCTGAAATAAAAAAAAATATATTTGCAGGAAAATAAAGTGTACTGACATTCATTATTGTATGAAGTTTTATATACGTGGTAAAGCCACGCTGCAGCTATATTAATAGTATAGTTGAAGCACGAATGGGTCGGCTCGACCGGGGAAGTACCACGCTGTTACAGAATACCAGCGTAAAATAGCAGCTTAACATTGCTGTCTTTCGTATGGTGAGTAAAGAGAATCGGAGATTCTTTTTACTGGAAAAGAGGCATTCCATCTTAGTCCTCACGGGTGACCACGCATCTGCAGTTTCATTCTTTATTGAGGATAGATATAGATGTCTGTGGGTCACAGCAACCACTTACCATTAGGTGGGTTGTGGGCTCATTTGTCACCCAACTCTATAAAAAAAAAGTTTTCTGTAAACCAATCATTCATAATTACCAATTTTTGATAGATCCAAAATATGTGATGAGCATGACGACGTGCCGACGTCAACTTTTGCAGCAATGTCTGGAGAAAAAAAAACAGAATGAGACTTTCAATTATTTATTTAATACCAAAAAATTCACTATTACTCCGATTCGGAAGAGCTGTTATGGTATCTTCTTTTAGTTGGTCTGAACATAACGTTTGGCGGGTTATTTTTTGTCGGCAATCGACTAGGGGAACTGTAGGGTGAATGGGGAACAGTATCTGCTTCTGGCGTACCGATTCTGTCCGAAGGGTCTGGCACAGCTTCGTCAACTGTAACAAATACACTTGTATTACTATACAAACTATTTTTTAAGTCTTATCATGACACCGATAAAACCATAACTTACCATATTCAATAACCTCATCAAAATTAAGTCAGTCAATATTAAACAGCAAACAAAAGACGACAATCTCAAATTACTATCTTACCAGAAGAACGGGAAGTTGATGCCTCAGCGGGTTCTTTGTGAAGAAGTTCTGTAACAATTTATAAAGTAAGCTTTATTGAACGGCAAAGTATTTATAAATCGAGTGTCTGAAATAACTATTTTACCAAAACAATGAGCTTCTCCAGACATCGAGGCTTCGACCTCGGCTGGTCTTGCGGGGTTAGGTCCTGTAAAAAATAATATATGATATACTTTAAACAAAAAAAGGACTAATCACTCATTTAGAACAACCGTGTAACCGAAAGAATGGGGCACTCCACACGTCGAGGCCTCAACCTCAGTTGGTTCTACGAGCTCTAATTCTGTAACAAACAAATTATGACATAACATAGATAAAACAGCAAAGTACTAGTATAGAGTATTTGAAATAACTATCTTACCAAAACAACGAGCTCCTCCAGACGTCGAGGCTTTGATCTCGGCTGGTCCTGGGGGGCTAGGTCCTGTAAAAAATAATATATGATATACATGAAACAAAAAAAGGACTAATCACTCATTTAGAACAACCGTGTTACCTGAAGAATCGGGCACTCCGGACGTCGAGCCCTCAACCTCAGTTGGTTCTACGAGCTCAAATTCTGTAAGAAACAAATTATGACATAACATAGATAAAACAGCAAAGTACTAGAATAAAGTATTTGAAATAACTATCTTACCAAAACAGCGACCTCCTGCCGACCTCGACGCTTCGACCTTGTTGGTCCTGCGGGGTTAGGTCCTGTAAAAAATAATATATGATATAATACACATTAAACAAAAAAAGGACTAATCACTCATTTAGAACAATCGTGTTACCTAAAGAATGGGGCACTCCGGACGTCGAGCTCTCTGCCTCAGTTGGTTCTACAGGGTCGAATCCTGAAACAAACAAATTATGACATAACATAGATTAAATAGCAAAGTACTAGTATCGATTCTATTAAATAACCATCTTACCGACACATTGCTCGACTGCATGATCAACCATGATACATAACTGACGTTCTGGAGATATCCTTCTGAAAAGTAAATCAGCTAATAATCACTACACTTACAAATAAAACAGCGAAAAAAATCTTTGCAGTTTGGACGCTAGAATTAAAGGAAGGTGAATTGTTAAGATGTCCGTGAAACTAAAAAGTATACTAAAAGAAAAAAAATACTTTGTTTGTCGTTTGCGCGGTGGTCTTCTGGCAAAAGCATTCTTTCCAGATGAGCTTCACGTTTCCGGGCGACAAGTTCTCGGCGAGCATCTGTCGGTAGAGCTGCCATCCGGCGTTGCGTTGTTTGCCTCTCTACCCTAATCTGGTAAAGCGTGTCTTCCAAAGTGACACTGCAAAAAAATATACAAGTGTAGAACATTGGAGATGTTTTTTTTTTAATTAAAGTGGAATATTAAACTTAGTCACAGTTTGTTAGGTATGATAAAAAAGACGCGTACGCTTGTTCATTTCTCCCTCTTCCACGCCGTCGTCCTCGCCCTCTTCCACGTCCTCGTTCTCGTCCTCTACCTACGGTAGTCTCACCTACTCCTACATCTCGATTACTTGTAGTTCTAAAATAAATTGTAACAAAAATTAAGTAACTTTACCACTCCGCTTTCAATGAATAAACATTAATATTTCATACTCACGGTTGGTCCAGCGGCGTGCACAAGCGTTTTGACTCTCAGACCTAGAATATAATCGTGATTTAGATTCCGCACTTTGTTTTTATAAGAGCTGGTGAAAGCTAAGCCTACTGCTAAGAAAAGTCTAAACACAACACCAATGTAAACCCATTATTTTCTTACATTTTTACCAAAACCGTTAAATGTAATGAGTAATATGATAATATCATAAAATAAAACCCATAATAATATGTTAAAAAGGTGCAGTACCAAATAAAATAAAAAAGCAGTCACGAAAAATCATGTTAAACACAGTCGTAATTTCTCGTTTGTACAAACCCTTAATATAACACATATCGTTAACGGGTACGACTTTCCATTGACTCCCGTGGAGTTGGGGGTTGATACGTTTTTTTTCGACTAGTTTATGCCGTCGACAAACTATGATCGATGAATAATGTACGTCAATATAAACTAGTTATCGTTCTACGTTGATTCGGTAATTAGTAAACGACGACTGGATTAAATTGTTAAATAAATAATAAAACTGTTGTTATGTGATTTGATCAACGAGAGACGTCGATCGGCAAGCGATAACATTAGTCTTAGTTAACTATTTTTGAGTAAAATGAACTTCCCTTATACTCTTTCCAGGCTTAGGACTAAGTAAATCGTTGTTGATTTGTAGTTTTTGATTTGTACAAATTTTTTTTTGTATAAAATGCGTCCATAACATTTTGTCATTGAGCTGAAGGCTGGGGTGGCGCAAATGACGGTTGTTCTCCCACCGAAGACCTAGACGTACCTGGAATGGGTTCCGCATGCAAAGCACTTCGAATTTGTTCCTGATTCCTTTGTACAGATGAATGACTGGATTGGTCATCATCAGCTCCGAACACCGATAAATAAACTGAAGGATGTTTTTTTCACAGATGACTTTTTAAATTGGCGGTGGACGACTTATAACTTAATACATCTTTACATTCATTACACGTTGCTTAAAAGTTTTATTGTCTTATTCAAAATGGTGCAATATCACACTACTGTTTTTACGGGCCGACGCCAACATAGTAAATATTTACACTATTTGACCACTTAAATACCTAAGTAAAACTGTTACCGTTTATACTATTTACTATTAACACTAGAACTTAATACTATGAATAATTATATTTTAGTTAATCTCTCAATTTAGAAAATTACTAAATACGTTTGACCTTGAACTATGCAAAGCGCATTTAAATTTTCAATGGAGACAAAAAATAATGTAAACAAAATTCAAAAATCTGCCTACACCTTATATTGACATGCATGTTTCATATCTATCTGCATTGTAATAGAGCTTAGTTTTACAAAATACCGCCCCCTTCGAGAGTCGAACACGTAGAGAAAGAGAGATAGCCGTCGAAACAAGCAGTGACAGTGTGAAGTGAACGGAATGCTTGATCGACGAGTGACCATGACCAGCGAAACATTTTCGGCAAACGCTCGACGGTGTATATCACAGAGTACATTATATAGTGTATATAATTATGTACTGCGCGATGCAAAATGTCGTTCACGAGTAAACTAGTTTATCAGTAGACTATAATAGTCGACGGCAAATAAATTGTCGCAAAAAACTGTTCGTTCATTCAACGCTCACCCTTAATAGTGTAACATTTCTGTAAAAATACGTATCAACCCCCAACTCGACGGGAGTCAATGGAAAGCTAAGCTTCGTAAACGTTACGAGCGGCTGTAGTCACCCGTACATTAAACCTGGGGAACAAAATACAAAAACGTAAAATCCTTACTACTTTCACTATTTTCCTTTCATTTAAGTGTATTTAAATATAGTTAATAACCTTTTTTACTAATTATAAGAAATATTTTATAAAAATAAATAATATACAATACAAGAACTCAAACAAGAACACAAAGGTGAAGTTATCGCATGTCGACTTCATCACATATAAAAATATAATAAATACATTATTACTTACATTTTAAATGAAGAACTCACAGTAACACCGGCCACTACACAAAACCAGAACACTAATACCCTTAGGACAAAACTTGACACAACGATTGTTTTTTTTTTTCAATGCCATCTGTTACCTGGCTTGGACTTTTTACTAACCTATGGGTTGGACGCGTTTTTTAATATAGTGCCATCTAGTATAACATTCATAAAGCTAATTGTAACATTCTATAGATCAAAAATCGTTTAAAGTTTAGAAGTCAGAGAGGCCGCTCTAGTCGCCCTAACGTTCAACCGGAAAAAGTTTTAGGCGACTATGGTCACCCGGACGTGTGAGTGGCTACGCAGAATGAGCTTACAGTATCTTGAAGTCTTACAGTGGTATGATTGGGTTTGGATTTAATTTTATTAATTATAGGATCCCCAGCAGATGGCAGCACCCATCCATTGATAAGGGCGTGCTTCGGTGGTTTGGGCACGTTGAGCGAATGAGTGAAGACCGAATGGTGAAGAAAATATATAGCGCGAAAGTTAATATTAAAAGGTGTCGAGGTAGACCGAGACTAACTTTCGAAGACCATGTGAGCAAATTGCTCGAAGAGGGTAGGGTCAAAAGTACTCGGATACCTAGACGTGCATGCATGAAGAAGATAATAAATCTGAAAGAAGCGAAAGAGGTTTGTAAGGATCGTGACACTTGGCGATCTGTTCTCTCTGGCTACCCCGTCAGGGATTGTGCGTGAAGATAAGTATAAGTATAAGTATAGGATCCCCAGCAGATGGCAGCACCCATCCACCTTCTCTATTGAAATTAGGATGTTTTTTAATTTCAATAGCCTCGCGAATCATCCTTGGTAGGAATCGGTGTAAAGACTTTTTAGAAAAACTAACTTCTTACTTAGTTTAAAAAATTACTCCACTTTTACATATAAAAATCAACTTTAAACCATAATTTAAACAATAATACAATAGCAGCAAACCACCGCCGGTCAAGTCCCCGCCAAAACTCATTGGAGTGTGGAATGTGTACAGAGATAATTAAACAAAGGGTAAAGCACGGGAATGACCTCTACAGAGTACGTTGTTGATCTCTAGCCTCTGTAAAAACAGTACAAGTTTAAGACCGGCCCCATACATACGGAACTCCGTTTCGGAATTCAGTCATTCAATATCAGTAACAATGATACAGCAACAATGGAATCGTAATCAGAAAATCGTCGTCATTATTTGCTGGCAGAATGTCTAGGCTCAGGCCCGTGACAACTTAGTTCCAATTTACGCATTTTGGCGCTACCATCGCAATTTTTCTGTCTACTGGCTCCACTTTGAGACGCCATATTGTGTTAATGTCAAAATCAAAATTATCGATTTATCGATATTGATTAGGAATGTCGATTCGTTCAGAAAAAAATCGATATTTAAATCGATTCAAATCGTAAGCTGATGTATCGATTCACAAAAATAGAAGTCTAAAAATCGATTTTTTATGTTTACATTTATAATGTAAATATATATCCATTTTATGAAAAACAAGAAAGATACCATTATAAATGATATCTTATCCGGAAAAAATTTTTTTTTTTTAGTTCAGGGAATTCGATAATATCAATTATTTTAAACACTTCATATCTAAACTTATTAAAAACAATAGACTGTCAAGTCTACTGGGATCCAAGCGGTTCCGCTCATCACTTGCAATGTTGCCGGCAATGGGTCTGGCCACCCAATTCTGTTAAGGGTATCAAAAATTGTATAAAAAATTACGAATTCAACGGTATTCTTATTTTTTTTTCTACCTTTAAAAATGAGTGAAATATTGATGAGTAAAGTGGTGTTTTACGTTAAGAGCGATCGCTTTGCTCCGCATCGCGATGTGACGTCACAAATCGACACGTCGAAACTACCAGTAGTCTTTATTCATATATTTTTCTTATTCTCTCCATATTTATTACTCCATATTTTTCTTGTCATGTTATTTAGTATCGCATTTATGTTGCGTTGAGTTCTTGGACACAAATTTTCCTCCGTTAGTTGTGACAATATTCTGTTTTTATGCTGTCGTCTGCAAATTGCATACCATCATAATGGCATACGAAAAGTGCTGTGTTGTGGTTGCAATAGAACGTGAAACGCGCCGGCTTTTCAGATTCCCTAGGAACGAATATGTTGATGCGTCACATTGTGTAGGTTTTTGGACATTTTGACGGCAACTTGAGCAAGCAAACAGCTGGCAATAGCATGTCAAGGCGCCTAAGTAAGCAGATACGTAATCATGACATTCACGTCACTATTGGAGCACGTGTTTCACAATTTCCAATAATAGTTCACATGCGTAGACATTTCACTCAGAAAATCGTACCACTTTCACATATCAGAATTCACTTCAAACCATACATATACATAATTACACAATAATACAAGAGCAAAAATTCACCGCCGGTCAAGTTCACAGAACAAACGTTAATAGAAGTACGTCGTCTTATTTACAACCTTTTTATTCGTTTTTAAACAAGATGAAAGAGATGGCACGATACGGCGTTATGTATGTTTACAGTCGGGATTTTCTTTGATTTGTTCATAAAAGCGGTGCATATTTGCGTTTCAGTACGTACTTCGTTTCACACTAGTGAAGAAACGTTTCGTTTTACCTTATAGCCAATTGCCGTATTACGTGATACGGCATTTGATCATCATAAAAGTAATAAATTTATATTGAAACTGTAAAAACATATTACTCAATAAGTTTTTGAGAAATACACAAAACATTATCTACAAAAGTCCGTAGTCTCAGCCTACCCCTCCTTGTGACAGGCGTGAGTGTTTATGGACGTATGTACGTATTATCTACAAATAAAGATTCTATTGGCCTTAGTAACCTGTTTTTGATTGATTGTTGCTCATGTATTGTCGTTTTAATGATTTTTCGAAGTGGATTTTGAAACATAAGGGTGGCCACATGCATGCGGAATTCTGTTACGGGACTCCGTTTCAGATTTTCGAATGAGTTTGTCACATACATTCGAAATGTCGTTTTGGCCGCAAAATTTCGAACGGAAAATCTACTGTCCGTGCATGACGAGTGCTTGATTTTACATGGACTTGCTGTGTTCGGAATTCCGTATGTATGTTGCTGGCCTAAAAGTGGTACGATTTTGATGCAATTATTTGTGGAAACAATGGTACAAGTGCTTCTTTTGTTATGTAGTTATAGGATTCTTTATTTATTCCGATGGGATAAGCTATCGTCAAAATCTTCCATAAACATCGCAATGAGACGCATCAGCATATTTTGAAGAATTGTGTGACTAAGATACACAACAAACTGACATGGAATACATACATATCAGACTAGGCTGCATGGTTAGATAAATTTTGTCTAAGAACCAAATATCCTAATGTCATTGTCAAATGTAAATGCTTTATCTATGTGTAAATGTCAGTCAATGTTGTTTGTTTTGCACTTTGGCGGCAACGAAACTGACTAAACATTTATCAAAAACCGCCATAAAAAAGAAAGAAAGAAGAAGAAGACTAAACATTCGTATCTGTTAAATATTAATTCAATATTTACCAGTTAGTTTTATAGATAAAATAAAGATGTTTTATTAATATTAAAAATATGAGAATTTTGTCTCGTCTTACATTAGGTTTTAAAATTAAAATTAATTTAGGTTCGTGTAATGGTACAGTTTTGGTTCAGAGGTACAAGTCTGAAAGAATGAAATATTTAAATGTAGCAGAAAAAAATGATGCCGCGAAGAATATAGCTTTACATTTATCAAGAGGAACTTCAATTAGGGTACATGTTATAACTTTTTATGCTTTATTATTAGAAACTTGTGTTATGATATAATTTTAGGGTAATTGTTTTAATATTTGCAGCGAGAAGGATTATCACAATACAATAAAATATATGAATTTGAAGCTGACGTAATGGGCCAAAAATGCACAATGGTTATGACTTCAGTATCAGGACATCTTCTTGCTCTTGAATTTGCAAGTTCTTACAAAAATTGGCAGTCATGTAACCCTCTAACACTTTTTGATGCACCAGTTCTGAAATATTGCCCTGAAAATTATGAGAAAATTAAGGTATTTAAGATTTTTCAATATCTGATTACATTATTTATTAAGGATTACTTTCGTATTATTTTTAACTTAACAGCTGGTGTACTGTCATCAGAATCAGAAGGATACTAAAAAATGTTTACCAGTATGTAATAAATAAAAAATTTTTTTAATAATAAAAGCTAAAGCAAGGAAGGCATTTGTTTTGACTATTTGATACTTAAGTAATGGAGAAGTTTCCTGATGTTGTTAATGTTATATTTAACATAATGGTATTAAAATATAGATCAAAACTAATCAATCAGTGAAAAAAATTTTGAAATCCATCAATAAATGACTTAGAAATAGATTATTGAAGTTTACATATTTTAGTACGGAACGTCTGTGGTTTTTGATTCGCCTGTGATGTGTTTTGACCTATCTGACATCACTGCACCACTAATTATTCAAATATTAGTTCTTGTGCTCTTGTTTATTCTGTGGTATTAGTTTCAGAGTCACGCCAGGGCTCTTGCTTCGTTTGTGTTTATTTATGTACAATCATGTTTCTTTTTTATTTTTGAGTGTGTAGTTTTTATTTCACTATAATGGAAAAAGGCTTCATGTAAGGACAAAGCGATAATTTGTCTAATATTGTTATTATACACAGTGATGGACTTTTCTTCTTTAAATCTGTCTTATGTTAGTGCTGAAATAAAGGAATTAAACTTTTTAAGTAGGTATATACTTTGAAGTTTATTTCATCAGCCACATTTTTGTTTTAAATAAAAATGTAAATTTTTTTAATCGCCGTAGAAAATTAGTATGATGAAAAAAATTTCATTTTTTCTTATAAAACTATTGATTTTAAATAAAATTATTATAAAATCTAATTATTAATAACCAGTGTTGCCACGTTTTGCATTCGACACATCGACATCGATTCATACTTAAAATTAAATTGTTGATGTCTCGCTGCGGTAAGAGGTCCCATGTTCTTTGCAAGTGTTCGTAAAGTTGTTGTTCCATCATCAAATTTGGCGCATAATCTCTCAACGCTTTACTTTGTAACATGTCCAGACATGCTCGATAGGATTTAAGTAGGGCGACTGTGCAGGCCAATCCAAAACTTGAATATTGTAATCTCGGTGTGTCTCGGTGAGTGCCTGACACCAGCGCCGTATGGGAAGGAGTATTATCGTGCTTGAGTAGAAATTCCTGGCCCATTTGGATTCTGTGAGGGTTAATAACAGGCTCTTCTACCTCCTCGTGGTATTTTTGTGCAATCATGCTGCCTTGGATACAAACGAGCTGGGTTCATCTGCGAAGATGAATTCCTGCCCACATTTGGCCCACCTTGATATGAGTGGACCTCTCCTGAGCGTGCCGTAGATGGCTAACTCTCCCTGGGGTTCTCCAAACGCGTGTTCTTTGTGAATCCGGTGAAACCCAGGACATCTACGCGAATGGGAGGACGATGTAGAGTTGGCCCTATACGCGGACTATAGCGTCTATTTCACATCGTTCAGAAGAGCCAGGATGCTGCGTCTGCTGGACCTGCTGCCACCATGGCTGGACGAGTGGAGGTTGGCCATCAATGTTAGTAAGACGACCGCTCTGTTCACCCGCCACCCCAGAAACCTACCACCTCCACTGACGCTCAGGGGCCAAAAGATCACGTACGAGAAGGCCGTGACTTATCTTGGATGCCGGATCGACAGGATGCAGCGCATGGCCGCGCATATCGATCTCGTCGTCCGTCGCCAGAGGTGACATCTGTGGACTTATCGGTGGACATCAACCAAAGACCACTGTTCATCACTTCATAGTAAATGCTTCCGAGCCCACGAAAGCCGCCGACCGCCAACTATGATTTCTTTTTTTCATATGCTCCTTGTTCTTTTTGAGGTTTCACCACCTTTTGACAGTCTTGCTTGACTAAATTTTTGTCTGTGTCATTTTCAACCTGTAAATAAATTTGATTATTAAAGTACTTACATACATATAAAATAAATAACGAATACATTTACATAAGATATATAGTTATTTTCACTGAATAAGTTATTCCGAAATAAAGGCCAATAATAATAATAGTATACCTATATATTTAAATCTCTTTGTTCCGTACCTACTTAGGTATTATATACTACTCAATAGGTATATCAATCAGAAATAGGCAGCTATTATTAATAGTTACATAAAAATGATCTTCACACATATATTTACTGCTTTTAGGTTCAATTAAATCACGGTTCATTAGTTTGCACCACCTTTCCTTGTAGTTATATTATTTGGTACAGGAAAAAAAAATTATTGGGATTTTTAACTATTGTGCTTTGACACATAGGAACAATACAATATTTGTAGGCATTTTTTTTACTTTTGCCATTGGGTAATGAACAAAATACGAATCGAACGGCGCAAATGACTACACAATGTATGTACTCGACGAATACATGATGCGTCGTCTATGTCAAATGACATCACACCATGGAGCAACGCATGTAACAAAATTATTCTTGGAAGCGCAACTTCAAAGTCCTATGACTTTAATTTTTAGAGATATTTTATTGATTCTTTCACATGTTTGTTTTATATTACTCAAATTATTACAATTTATCCATAAAAAATATGGAAATTTCTCCATTGTCAACAGAGTTTGGAAACTGTTTGCAAAGTTAATATGTATAACACAAACTTAGTTTTCAGTAAAGACCAAATTCCCCTAATTTGAATTTGAATAAATACAATTCAGATTTAATAAAATTATGAAAATGGATAAATCACCAGCAAATATGGGTGCATAATAATAAATTGAATGTTGTAAAATTTGTAAATATAAGAATTCATTAAGCCAGTCCAAGGTCTACTTGTTTGGTGGTTTGATTCAAAGCTACTACTACCGACATTGAGCTCTCGACTTGTCTGCTCTCTCTCGGTTCGTCTGTCCACCTCTTGGTCACGTGTCAGTTTTTTGCACTTGAGTCAAAGGGTTTTGTTAGCTCTCGCAAGGAAAACAAGAATGAACATGTACATACTCGTTTATCTAGTTGCCTGTTAGCTGTATTTACATTAGGTTGTGTTTTGGCTATGTGGTGTAACTAGGGATGGTCGATTTAGTAGAAACATCGATGATGACATCGATGTTGACATTGACAGCTCAACATCGATGATCGATGTTTATCCTACTCAAAACATCGATGTTGGTCATTATCAATGGTTTTTTGCACATGTATTTAATAGGTTAGAATTAGATGAATAAAAAAATTGTCATGTTGTTTATGGTTTATAATTAATGAAATAAAAGAAATTAATAAACAATGTAATATAAAACAGTAATAAAAACAAATTGGAAGAAGTTCACAAATATCTAATTCACTTGTTATATTGTCCAATATTTTTGCAGATGAAGAAATAGTAATTTTACAAAGAAGTACCTTTCAATCCGTTTCTTTGTTGATAAAGTGTTGAGCCAGCTATTGAAAATAATTTAAAAATAAAATTTTGTACAACTGACTCAAGGATAACTTAAAAACTATTGGTCAGACTTATATGGGTCTAATTTATATGGGACCACATGTGAAGCACCAAATTTCAAATAAAAAAAAAGATTCATCAAAATCGGTTCACCCAGAAAAAAGTAATAAGGTAAAACACATTAAAAAAAGAACATACAGTGGAATTGAGTACCTCCTCCTTTTTGAAGTCGGTAGATAACCGCTCAGATGGCGCTGATGTAGCGATTGTGGTCAAATATCTCACTGCAAGTTTTCTTTTTAATTTTAGATAGATAGATTAGAACAATATCGGTAGAACCGATAACATTGTTCTAAACGTGCATTGGATCGTGTTTAAGATCAACCATCAGATTTTTTTTTAAAACAAATGATAAAGAAACAGATAGCCAACAACGACACTAATAACAAACGAAATCAGTGACAACTGCGACATTACAGTTGACACTGGACAGTTAAATTTGATACCCCATAATGATATATTTTAGGTTATCGATGCGTTCAAGCATTCTGAATTATTCAAAATTTTAAATATTTTAGAGGAGATGCAAGATTTAGTTGATATTGTTTTTGCGGATTGAAAACATCGATGTTAAAACATCTATGTTTTCATTCTTGACATTGATGATCATCGAACATCGATGATCATCGACCATCCCTAGGTGTAACACTATATTTTTAAATAATTATAATAGTAACAGCAAACAAAACAAAAAGCAACAGTGATGTCCAGGTCCATTATGGCAGGTAAGGTGAATGGTGTCCGCAATTCAATGGATACAATGAGTGTGTACATGGTAGGCCTGACCTAGGACCTAAGAAGCACTAAAAGCTCGAGGCAAGGGGCGAGGGGCTCTCGACGAGTCTATAAAAACAGCATTACATAGATAATCAGAAGACTAATGAAAACCATTCCAAAAAAATACAATTTTTTGGGTTGGAGTCAAGTTCAAGAACTTTTTAAAATATGGGATGGATGCCCCTATTACCAGCCTTTTAGTGCCAATTTCAACTTTAAAAATTCCTGCTATTTTAATTAGGGCACAATATTTTTAAACATTTGTTTTAATCGATAGGTTATTTATCTAAAAATATAATGAACATTTATTTACAATCATATTATTTCAAGAACAATTTCAAAAACGACGATAAGTAAAAAAAGGCGTTATGGCTCAAATGCCAGCCAACCTGTACCAAATGTCGTCCTTTTGTGTACTTAATTTAATGCTAACATAGCATAGGGTTGTGTCTTTTGAGTTTTTGGTAAGTACCCATTGTAGGTTACTTTTAATTTTGAATCTGTACGTGACAAGCATGGGATATTATTAAGACAGACGACAACATTATTTTATTTTAACGTTTTACTACTTAACTTACTGTGTTTAAAGCAGTTCAATAAATTAAAACAAATTATGATAAAATATTATGTAGTATATCGATTTCTAATAATTTAATCATCCAAGTTTTCAAATCATCATCGTCATTATAACCTTACACAAGTCTACTACGGAACATCCTCCGCTATAGACTGCCACAAAGCCTGGTCCCAAACCACTTTACTTGTCATGAGTTTTTCATTTATGTTCTAAGTTGTAATTAGTATTACTAAGTTATAGTTTTTGCTTATCTATACAAATAAATAAAATTGTGAAAGTATATACGGTACCTATAACAAAAACACAATTTTTAAAATTTTTGTCTGTCTGTATGTTTGTTCCGGCTAATCTCCGAAACGACTGGACCGATTTCTACGGGACTTTCACTGAACGATAGCTGATATTATAAGGAGTAACTTCGGCTACTTATATTTTAGAAAAAGAATTAGGGTTCCGCGCAACATAAATAAAACCCTAAATTACACGCGGGTGAAGTCGCGGGGAACAGCTAGTATATACTATATTTATTGCTTGTTTTTTCTTCTTTCTCAAAAAATAATTGAATACATAAGCTGTCCTAAATATACACCGAATGTCAGATAGAAAAGCTAGTACATCTTTTGCTAAACTTTAAAATCTAAAACCAATTTTAAAACAGAGGAATTGATCATGACTCCCTTAAATATAAAATAATTTATGATCTAATTAATAGTATTTATTCCAGTTTATGACAGCCCTGATTTATATTACGTGGCTGCAATTAGGTACGTCAAACCAAATAACAGCCGGACGGCTGACATTATGCACTCCATACATTTCGTATATCTATTTACAGCCCCAGTAATTTCCACTAAAAGAAAATAAATAACTTGTAAATTTTAACAAAAATAACTGCCTTACTATGTCTATAGTCATATTCATATAAATCAAAAAGTCTATATATGAGATAATGTAAAGTAAGCATAATTTTATCGGGATCATTACTTGTCAAGAAATTAGGAAAATGAGCGTTTTTCGTCGCGTACGTGTTTTGATTTTTAATTTAACACTGTTAGGTTTAAAACTGTGAGGTAATATTTGAAATATACTTTCCTCTAGGTACGAAGAATTTTTTAGGCGACAATATTTGTACTTAAGACTAATAAAAATTATTTACGAAGTAAAAAGGCGAAAAGGCTGGTATTAGGGGCATGGCTGGTATTAGGGGCATCCAGCCTGCTTAATGTGGAGTTGAAGGTTTTTTAAGGATTTTTAGGAAGGAAGGATTAGTTTGAAGTTGCCGTTTTAATGAAGTGGCCACTTTGAAATAAAAGTAAACCTGCCTATAATACAAACAACTAAAAATGTCGGTTTAGTTTAGTTTAGTTTACGACGGGCTGTTTTCCGCAACTCCACGTCTATGCGCGTATTTTGCGTGTGGGCAGGAATAATGTGATTATTCGAGTCATGAGATCTCCCCAAAGAAGCTCAACAGTCCCTTGATGTTGCATGCAACTTCGGGGTGTGATCCCGGCGTGCCGAGATGTTTAGGCCTGTGCGTAGCGACCTCCGGACATTTCAATAGCACGTGCGCCGCCGTTTCTTCCTCCCCCATACATGCCCTGCACAGGGGACTATCTGTAACACCTATAGTAAATAAATGTTTGTTAAAAGTGCCGTGTCCTGTGATAGCACTTGTTACTATCCTGATCTGCGGCTTGTTCAGTCTCATTAAAACATTGGTTAAGCGACTGTTTATTTCAGGCAGGGCCTCCCTAGCTTGTCTACAGTCTACTAGATTTTTCCAAAGCTGAGCGTGTTGATTAGTGAAGTGTCTACGTACCAGTGAACGAACGTTGCCAAAGGGGATTGGTATGATTGGTTCCGGCCCTATAGTGGCCAGAGCCGATACTCTTCTGGCCAGTTCGTCTGCTGCATCGTTGTCTCTGGATCCACTGTGTCCCTTTATCCATTGCAGAGTCACGTTGTTGTTTTTACATACCTCATTTAATCGTTGATGCCATTCATATATTAGTCCCGAGTTCACCACATTGCAACTCAAAGCTTGTAGTACCGCCCTACTGTCGGTCAGTATTCTGATGGGGAAGTCATTAACCTTCCTAGCATCTATTGCTATGGCCGCTTGAATGATACCCATACATTCCGCCTGAAAGACCGTGTTATAGGTACCCAGCGGTGTGCATATGTGAATATTAAGGTCTTCAGAGGAAGCTCCAGAACCTACACCTTCATTTGTTTTAGAACCATCGGTGAAAACTCTAAGCTCTTTTGGGCTTAATCCTTCTGGCTGGCTGTTTTCATTTAATTGTATCTTGTACTTCTTATCGAAAACAAATTGTTTAGGAATCTTATCGTATTTGGCTTGTAGGATAGGAATTTTTGAGTGAATTCTATCAATTATGCCTGTATGAAGGACACTATTCTTACTCTATAACTAAAAATGTATTCTTAGGAAGTGGTAAAAAATACCTTCATAGACATAGTCTAACCAGTATTCTATCGTGAAGATAAAATTGACTTTTTCTTGAGATGGCAGAAATGTATAGATAATAAGGGTAAATAATTAAAATAACTATATTTTTCTTAAAAAAGGTGATTAAATTTTTCAAATTAAAATAGCAATTTCAAACTAACCCCTAATAGTATTGATATGCCTGGTTCATATTTTTTTAAACATTATAGGGTTAAAATAAAAATACAATACAAAAGACTATTATACATACATACATATAATCATGCCTCTTTCCCGTAGGGGTAGGCAGAGACCAGTTCTTTCCACTTGCTACGATCCTTACATATTTGTTTTGCTTCGTCCACTTTCATTATTCCCTTCATACGTGCTCTACGGTTTAGGGTACTCTTGACCTGGCCTTTTTTCAAGACGTCCCTGATTTGGTTAGAAATGTCCGCCCCTTCTGTCTACCCCTTCCAACACTTTCATTCATACTCGCCTTATACACTTTTTTCGTCAATCGTTCTTCATTCATTCTCTCGACATGGCCAAACCATCTCAGCATACCTTTCTCAATTTTTGTCACTACATCTTCTTTCAGACCACAACGTTTCGTTATCTCAATATTTCTTATCCTGTCACTCAGTTTAACTCCTATCATACTTCTTAACGCTCTCATCTCAACTGCATTTATTCTGCTTTCATGTTTCTTCTGCCATACCCAAGTTTCACTTCCGTACATAAGTGTCGGAACCAGCATCCCCTCATGCACAGCCAAACGAGCCTTGTTAGACACCTTCCGACTGCTCATAAAGGAGTGCAAAGCTCCATTCACCATGCTTCCTGCATTCACTCTTCTTTCGATATCACTCTCACACTTTCCATCTCTTGTAAAACTATTATGTATCTTGTAAAACTATTATCTCTTGTTAGTCTATTATGTAGACATAAAATAAGTGCAGAATTTTTATGTATGAGACCAATGCTTAATTTATTGACACGTCTTTGTACATTCCAGAAAACTTTAGAGAGAGAAGTACGCAGCTGTCAAGGTCTTATAATTTGGACAGATTGTGACAGAGAGGGTGAGAACATAGGCTTCGAAATAATAGAGGTGTGTAGTGCAATTAAGAGCAACCTGAAAATATACCGTGCCAAATTCTCTGAGATAACAGCTGTGTCAGTTCGTCGGGCGTTACAGAACCTGGAGCAACCAAACAAGAACATCAGCAATGCTGTTGATGTGAGGCAAGAACTTGATTTGAGGATAGGTAAATTTTGTGTATGCATGATGCTACATCCTAGCATGTTATTTTAAGCAATGTCTCTATATAATATATGGATATTATATATTCTATAACATTTATTTCTAAGTTTGTTGCTTTAGCAATAGTAGCCCCTGAGTATCAAAGCCTAGCCTGGCCTGGCCTGGGTACAGGAGAAATATATTGTGACTTTCGAACCGTGACTCTAATCCAGGCTCTAAATGTTTGTAATGCTAGATAAGACAATCTGCATGCCAAATACAATTATAGTAAACCCTCCCTTCAATGGGAGAAGCTTATACATATATAAGCCAGCAATGGGCTGTTATGGATTGATGATGAAGAAGATGATTGAAAAATTGAGGGTATAATTTGGACATGTAGATTAGAAGAATGAGTATCCTTTCAGTCTGACAGGGTAATAATTCGTTTTAAATTTTTTTTAAACATAACCAAGAAAAATCTCTTAAAAACGTTTTTATAGCCTTCTCTCAGGCGAGTATGATGGATATTTTTGAGATACTTTGTTGCACTTCTTGGATATGGTCAGATGTTGTGCTTCTTTTTGTGTGATATATCTTGCTATTCCATTCATTGCATAATTTTTTCAACAATTGCATTCTTGATATTATGAATAGTTCTGTCATAAGTCGACGCGGTATGATATGAATCTATATTATTTTATCACTTACCTCGAAAACTGCTGGTAACTCTGGCGTACCTTGAGATGAATCTGTATCCTCTATGACTTGCAATTTACAATGGTTGTAACCTTACTTCTGTCTGTTTATATATCTACCACCTGTTTTTCTAAGCCTTGCATAGCTGTTAATTTAAATTTAGAATTTCAAGCACAGTAGAACATATACAACATAAAATAAAACTTCAAACATAATTAATAGAATCAGGCATTACTTTGTGGAAATCCGTTATATTAAAGTTGGTAAAAATTACCTCGCGTATATCCGCTCGATAAAATTAAATGATGTGTCTTACCTAGTTTGAAGAGCACCTCCCGCCCTTCCTCAATTGCGTGCACTATCCCCGTCAAAACTAATCCCAGCACCACTAATCCCAGAACCACTACTCCCAGCACCACTACACTAGGAAAGATACACCACTGACGAAAATACGACACGTGTTTCGCCTCTACACGAGGCATCTTCAGGTGTTACCTAGTTTGAAGAGCACTTCCCGCCCTCCCTCAATTGCGTGCACTATCCCCGTCACCACTAATCCCAGTACCACTAATCCCAGCACCACTAATCCCAGCACCACTAATCCCAACACTACTACACTAGGAAAGACACACCACTGATGACAATACGACACATGTTTCGCCTCTACACGAGGTATCTTCAGGTGTTATCTAGTTTGAAAAGCAACTCCCGCCCTATCACCTTCAGGTGAAGAGTCAACGTCCAGCGATGGAGTTTTATGGAATGATTATTTTTTTAATTACATGTGGTAGGTCCCTTATATTTCCTTTATTGCTTTCAGGGGCTGCGTTTACAAGGTTTCAAACACTACGATTACAAAAGGTGTTTCCTTCCAAACTATCAGATAGCCTTATAAGTTACGGATCATGTCAGTTCCCAACTCTTGGCTTTGTTGTAGAAAGATACAGAGCGGTAAATAATTTTGTTGCAGAAACATTTTGGAAAATAAAAGGTATCTTTTTACATCACTGGAGTAATACCTACATTACTTTAATTTTGTACTTTTCGGAAATCGTCATTTTAAATTAAAATAAAACCTTAATGTCACAGTTAACCACACCATGAACAATCTAAGTGTAGACTTCACTTGGGACAGAGTTCGCTTGTTTGATCAAGAGGCGTGCCAGGTCCTTCACGACATATGTTTAGAAAACCCGTTGGCTAAAGTAATCAGCGTGAAAACAAAACCTAAGTCAAAGTGGAGACCATTGCCGTTGGACACAGTGGTAACTTTTTGTTACTAATAAAAATCATATTAGTATTGTTTAATAAATTACAGCAAGGAAAAGTAAAGAGATGGCACAGACTCAGTTTTTAAGAGGGTATAAGAGTAGAAAAGTGTTAAACATGGTGCCCTCCTTACGATGTTTTACCTCTTCGGTCTAAGCTGGTGAACAGTTTTCTAAGTAAAATAAACTTAATGTTAACATAATAATAAATAGTATTTATTGCTATTGACCTTGTGGCGATGTAATAGTATAGAATAATTTTTTTTTATTCAATATATTGAATAAAAAAATTATATCTAGATTACGATCTATAGATTACAAGTAATTCTTATTGAAATTTTTTTTTACTTTTGTCACTTTACCACACAAGAGTATCCACTACCCCATATCGTCCCAAGGGTGTCGTAAGAGGCAACAGAGGAAACAAACCAGGAGATGAGCAGCAGCTCTTAACAACGTCTAGAAAATTAAAAAATCTGCGGTTGCCAAACCATCTGCCAAGCGTGCAACTATGACAAATATGGAGATACTACGAGCAAATCTATGGGATAGACCTATGTTCAGCTATGGACTTTTGATAGGCTGTAACGATGATGATAATGATGATGAAATAATATTGCTAAATGTAATCTCATTGCTATGCTTATTGCACATTTATTTGATGTCATTAATTCCATAAAAATATCTTTTACTTACTAAGTCATATTATAAAAATTTCAGGAATTAGAAAAATCGGCTTCAAGAAAATTAAAAATCAATGCAAAAGAAACAATGCGACTAGCTGAAAAACTATATACCCAAGGTTTCATCAGCTATCCCCGAACAGAAACCAATGAATTCCCCAAGGAAATGAACCTGGCGCAACTCGTTGGATTGCAAACCGGTGACCCCAGTTGGGGAGCATTTGCTCAAGGGATTTTAGATAGTGGAGGCCCAACGCCGAGACAAGGGAATAAGAGCGATAAAGCTCACCCTCCTATACATCCAACGAAATATACCAATAGTAAGATTTTTTAATCATTTCAGCGACGTCGCGAATCGAATCTGTGTAGTACTATACCATAGTACCATAACTAATAGGTATTAGTATTGTAGATATTGTTGTTAATATGTCTGTCTTGTGTTTTAATTTACAATCTACAATCCGATTCAAATAAGAATAGGAACGTTATTGACCTCGAATGACTGCAATCTGTCAACTGTCACTTGAAAAGTACGGCCTGCAAAGAAAACTAATTTGTGTATAAATACACTTTTTTTTTTCAATGATTTGACCGTGTCTTAGTATTACCAAATCTATTGAACTCATAATTATTTTTATAAATTATTTTAAAATATTGTTACTAGTCGGTGAAATATATTAAATACCTACATAAATCCATGTTCTATTTTTATAAGGGAAAACTGCAGTAATGATAATGATGACCATAATGACTACTCATACAGTCATGCAGATTAGTGAAATTGAAATGCTAGATTCAGATTAATACTTTTTCGTTTATGGTTCTTTTGTAAATAAATATTATTTCAAAAATATCTATTTTGCTCACCCTACCTAACTGGTTTGAATTGACAGCTACGACGTCACGATATGGAGCTAGGTCAGTCTTATTCTTATTTGAATAGGATTATAGTAACTTGAAGCATGCGCAAAACATTTTCATAAGTGGCAGAGCCATTCTGCAGTTGTATTAATTGTAGAGTTGTAGCACGAATGTGTCGGCTCGAGCAGGGAAGGACCATGCTCTCACATAATACCAACGTAAAATAGCAGCTTAATGGTCCTGTGTTTCGTATGGTGAGTGTAGAGAACCGGAGACTCTTTTTACTGGAAAAGAGGCATTCTATCTTAGTCCTCACGGCTAACAACGCATTTGCATTTTGATTCGAAAACGAGGATAATGTAGATATCTATGGGCAACAACAACCACTTACCGTCAGGTGGACTGTGTGCTCGCTTGTTACAAAGGTGAAAAACGAGTACACAGTTCTTCAGAAAAGCATTTTTTTATATATAGGATAAGGATCCTATGTAAAAAAAAAAAACTTTTCTGAAGTATTGTAGTAAGTATCCATATCGTTATGCAAAACACCATTTTAAAGGAATAGTAAAATGTTTGTGTTTGAGTGTGTGTGTGTGTGTGTGTGTGTGTGTATGTGTGTGTGAGCGAGCGAACGAGCGTGCGTGCGTGCTGGCATGCTTGCGAGCGAGCGTGTATGCGCGCGTGCGTGCGTGCTTGCGTCCGTGCGTGCGTCCGTGCTAACGTGCGTGCGTGCGTACGAGAGTACGTGCATGTGTGTGTGTGTGTGTGTGTGTGTGTGTGTGTCCGTCCCGTGTGTGTGGGTGGGTGTGGACTTGTGTGCGTGTGTTTTCGTAAGAAGCTATTGCACTCGCGTTAGTATCATTCATAATAATTTTGTATCGCTTATACATGTCACTTGCGTACGCATTCAGTTGCGAATAATGTTATTATTGCAATAGTATAGTCTTAAAAAAAATAAGAGGTGATGTGTAGAATAGAATGATTTTTTTATTAAATATAGAACACATGTGTAATTCTTTGAAAGTAATTTTTTACTTTACCACTTGTTCGAAAAAACCCTCTGTCCTGAGAAGAACCAGAAAAAACCCAGCGGGACTTTTTTTTAAAAGTAAATTTTACATGAATGGTTGTACAACTATTTACAAAATTTATTTTAGAAACAGCTTGGAAGTGCTCCTACACGCATTGGGACAGTAGGGCGGACATTTTCGTGCATTAAAACTCGTCATAAATGAGAGGAGGTTTCGTGTCCAGCAGTGGAACATATATAGACTGTACTTTACTTTTCAGATCATATGATATGGTCATTTAAAATCTGAAATGCCGTCTTAGTAATCTCATTTGACATCGGACAATAACCACTGTACCGTTCATCTGCTCCCGGAGACCATTTTGTTCTGGAGTGTAGTGATAGGTCCTTTGATAAATAATTATATTAATATAAAATTTATTTATTAATTATTCTTTACAGCCTATTATGTAGTGGCGGTGTAAGAATATACATTACCCCATATCATCCCGTGGGTGTCGTAAGAGGCGACGGAGAGAAGCAAATCAGGTGAAGGGCAGCACCACCTTTTTAATAACAACTAAAAATAAAAAAGCTGCGGTTGCCAACCCGCTCGCCAAGCGTGGCAACTATCGCAAATATCCCCCCGATAAGGCAATCAATGGGGGGCCCTATGTTGAGCAGTGGACTTTAATAGGCTTTAACAGTATACAGCTTATCGAAAGTTCACTGCCGAACTGGATTGGCAACCTCAGTTTTATATTATTTTGAGTTGGTTATTAGAACGATACTGCTGCCCTTATATAAATTATAAACAAACTAGCTGTTCCCCGCGACTTCACTCGCGTGTTAGGGTTTTTATGTTTTTGCGCATAACCCTAATTCTTTTTCTAAAATAAAAGTAGCCTAAGTTACTCCTTATGAAATCAGCTATCAGCCAGTGAAAGCCCCGTCAAAATCGGTCCAGCCGTTTCGGAGATACCCGGAACAAACAGACAGACAGACAGTTAAAAATTTTAAAAATTGTATTTTAGTTATAAGTACATATATAAGTATCTACTTCAATATGCATTTAGTAAAAAAAACTGTAATTTTGACATTACAAACAGACACTTCAATTTTATTTATTTGTATAGATAAATAGAGTTTGGTAAGAAATTATCAAATTGTTACAAAAGTCTAGACCATTATCCCACCTAATGTTTTGATTTTCTAGAAAAAATCTTAAATCTCATTGGCAACCTTGATTTGGTTGAAACAAATCTTGTCAGCCTCGAGCACAGGCGCAGAGTAGCCAGCCTTTCGGTATTCAATAGGATGCATTTCGGTGAATGTGTGCAGGAATTACATGCTTTAATTCCTCCTTCTCCTTTCCACCATCGGACAACCAGGCGGTCGGCGGGTCTTCAGCCCTTTGTTGTCGATATTCCAATTTATAGCGTCTATCTTTCCGTCCAAATACAATCTGGGCGCCTTCAAGGCAAGAGTGAATAGGCTTTTGTTACGCTAAGACAGTGCGGTTTACCATCTAGGGCTGCGTCACCACTTACCACCAGGTGGGATTGTGGTCTAGCACTGGCTTATAATAAGTAAAAAATGAATTATTTCTAATTATTTATTGAAAGTAAGTATAATGATTAATTTCCCTTTTTTAAGGTTTGTCGGGCAATGAACAGCGGCTCTATGAGTTCATAGTACGTTCATTCCTCGCCTGTTGCTCAAAAGACGCCCAAGGGCAGGAGACCAGTGTCGCCATCGAAGTGGCCAAGGAAACTTTCTCAGCCAGTGGACTTATGATCACAGCACGTAACTATTTAGAAGTGTACCCGTATGACAAATGGTCTTCCAAAGAGATTCATGTATACGAAGTGAGTGACTGCAGTGTTAATTATTTTTTTGTTTTATTTATTAGAGAAAGATTTAAAGATAAGCCAATAAATTATTATACCTAATTTAATTAAACAGCTGTACACGTCATCGTTGGAGCCACACGCAAGTGTGAGTAACGCTCCAAGAGTGAGTCTTATGCGACACTATTCCGAAGATATTCCGGACGTCACTCTGAGCGAGATTAGAATGGCTTTCTAGCACCTTAAAAATAGAAAGTCCCCGGGCGAGGATGGAATTACAGCGGAGCTTTTGAAAGCGGGTGGAAAACCGGTACTTCAGAAACTCTTTAATTCCGTCCTCCGTGGTGGCACTACTCCGGAGGCGTGGAGCAGAAGTGCGGTGGTCTTCTTCTTCAAGAAAGGCGACAACGCTCTCTTGAAGAACTACAGACCGATTTCCCTTCTGAGCCGCGTCTACGTGCTGTTTTCGAGAGTCATTACGAATCGTCTCGCGCGCAGACTTGACGACTTTCAGCCTTCCGAACAAGCCGGTTTCCGAAAAGGCTTTAGTACCATAGACCACATACACACCCTTCGGCAAATTGTACAGAAGACAGAGGAGTATAATCTGCCACTTTGCCTTGCGTATGTGGACTATGAGAAAGCCTGTGCTCCGTCGAAATTTGGGCGGTGCTGTAGTCCCTTCAGCGGTGGCAAGTTGACTGTCGGTATATCGAAGTGCTGAAGCGTTTGTACAATAGAGCTACGATGGCTATCCGAGTACAGAATCAGAGTACGAAACCTATCCAACTGCAGAGAGGTGTAAGACAGGGTGACGTTATATCCCCGAAACTCTTCACCGCTGCATTGGAAGACGTTTTCAAGCTGCTGGACTGGAAAGGATACGATATTAACATCAATGGCGAGTACATCACTCACCTTCGATTTACCGACGATATAGTCCTTATGGCAGAATCGCTGAAGGACCTAAGCACTATGCTCAATGACCTCAATAGTGTCTCCCAACGGATAGGTCTTAAGATGAACATGGACAAAACAAAAATCATGCTTAACGTTCCATTTCACACCTATGCCGGTAGTTGTTGGGAGCACTAAGCTCGAAGTTGTTGACGAGTATGTTTACCTGGGACAAATAGTCCGACTAGGTAAGTCCAACTTCGACCGAGAGGTCAATCGACGGATTCAACTCGGCTGGGCAACGTTCGGGAAACTACGACACATCTTCTCGTTAGACATACCTCAAAACCTTAAAACGAAATTGTACAACCAGTGCGTGTTGCTAGTGATGACTTACGGATCTGAGACGTCGTCCTTCACTGCTGGACGTATGAGGAAGCTTAAGGTCGCTCAGCGAGCTATGGAGAGGGCTATGCTCGGGGTTTCTCTGCGTGATAAACTTAGAAATGAGGATATCCGCAGTAGAACCAGAGTAACCGATATAGCCCAACGGATTAGTAAGCTGAAGTGGCAGTGGGCCGGCCATATAGCTCGAAGAAACGACAACCGATGGGGAAGAAAGGTTCTTGAGTGGCAGCCTTGTACTGGTAGGCGAAGTGTAGGGCGACTCCCCACGAGATGGAGTGGCGACCTGGTAAGACATGCAGGAAGTCGATGGATGCAGGTGGCTCAGGACCGTGATTTGTGGCATTCCTTGGGGGAGGCCTATGTTCAGCAGTGGACTTATGAAAGGCTGTAATGATTATGATGATGATGAATTTAATTCTAAACCCCGTTTAAGCATAACAAAACATTGCACTGCTAGACCTCCTCCCATTGTAGGATGATTTTGCGATAATCACCAAACTCGCAGTACTAGATGTCTAGCACCTTTGACCCTGCTCACTGTCCGCACTCTGGGTTATTTACATTTTCTACCGACTTCAAAAAGGAGGAGGTACTCAATTCAACTGTATTTTTTAATGTGTGTTACCTCATAACCTTTTTATGGGTGAACCGATTTCGATGATTCTCTTTTTATTTGAATGCTGGTGCTTCTCACGTGGTCCCATATAAATTTGATCAGTCTGGCCAATAGTTTTTCAGTTATTGTTGTTAATTTATAATGAAGTCGGTTGTACAATTTTTTTTTATTTTAAATTATTCATAAATGAATTGGTATATCGTCGTCTATATAGGAGGTCCGAAGCTGTTTCTGGTATTCCCCATAGTCGTCTGTTATTACCCACACGGGACTATCACTTACTCAATCAATCAATTAATATTTCATATGTGCCAACCAAGTGTACATAAATGGTCTTATAATAATAACAATTTGTCTCAACTTAGTAGTCTTTTTAAGGCATTGCAATTATTCCGCCACCGCGGAAATTTTTGAGTATATTCCCCTATCAATTGTTAGCAACGTAATACAATTTTTTACCCTATCCCATCTCGTGGATGTCAGAAATGGTAGGAAGATCACATGTCCTCGGAAATATGGCGGTATGTCTGGAGCGTACTGGGCTGCGATTGTACGATTCAGTACTTTCTCGACCAGTTTCCACTTTTCACCATGCTGACAACTTCCATACGCCGAAAGCTGTCCACTGCGTAGGACGTACACCGTGCTACAAATAATGCGCAAACACAGGCATTCACTAATCTTATAATCCACCAATGTCCGATCTTAACCAAAAATATTAAATTCAGGACATTTAATCTCCAATAAATCACACTGGATCAGCGCTGCGAACTCATCACTGCTCAAAAATTTAAATAAAAAAATTATGTAAGGAAGAAAATGTGGGAACTGTTGCCGGGGTATGGTGTGGATGGCCGATTGCTAAGGGCTGTGCAGTCTCTTTACTGTGACTGTAAAGCCTGTGTGCGGGTAGGGCATGACCTGTCACCCATGTTTAGCGTCCAAACGGGCGTAAAACAGGGTTGTGTCATGTCTTCCTGGCTGTTCATACTGTATCTCGACAGCTGTTTACAAAAGCTGAAAGATAGCTGTTTGGGTGTGAAATTGGGTGACATAAAAGTAAATTGTCTGCTGTATGCTGATGATGCAGTGCTTATTGCACCATCAGAGGCAGAACTGCAGGCATTAGTCACGTGTATGAAAGAGGAATGTGAAATTAAAGGTCTCCGTTTGAATGCTAATAAAACTAAGGTTCTGGTATTTGAAAGGGGCGAAGAGAGAACGAAGTGTGAAATATGGGTAAATCAGGAATGTCTAGAACAGGTAAATGAAATTGTATACTTGGGGAGTGCTTTTAGCCGGGATGGAAGATGTGATTTAGATGTGGACAGGCGTGTCGCTGCCGGGAACAAAGTCAATGGTGCCCTGACTGCGTTAGTCAAAAGGCAAGGCGTAGCGAAGAGTGCACGCCTTGCAATACATAACGCAGTGTTGGTACCGACTTTGTTATATGGCAGCGAAACCTGGGTATGCCAGAAGAAGCATAAAAGTAAGTTGAATGCAGTGGAGATGCGATCTCTTCGTAAAATGTGCGGCGTTACTATGGCCGACCGAAAGCGAAACGAAGAGATTCGCAATATGGCAGGTTTGAAAGATGACCTTATCACAAAAATTGATAAGGGCGTGCTTCGGTGGCTTGGGCACGTTGAGCGAATGAGTGAAGACCGAATGGTGAAGAAAATATATAGCGCGAAAGTTAATATTAAAAGGTGTCGAGGTAGACCGAGACTAACTTTCGAAGACCATGTGAGCAAATTGCTCGAAGAGGGTAGGGTCAAGAGTACTCGGATACCTAGACGTGCATGTATGAAGAAGATAATGAATCTGAAAGAAGCGAAAGAGATATGTAAGGATCGTGACACTTGGCGATCTGTTCTCTCTGGCTACCCCGTCAGGGATTGTGCGTGAAGATAAATGTTTTAATTTTTTTTAATATTTCTCACGTCGATTCTGAGCTATTTTCAAAATTTCAAGGCTGTAACTCATCGGGATGTTAGTTTAAAATCAATTACTAAATTCGACCCAAATACACGAAAGCGAGTTAATAAAATCATTGTAAAATAGTAGGAGCTCTGTATCCCGCCGTGAAAGTAGTAGGTTGTTATTTTACTTACTTTAAGTAATATTATCATCATCATCATCATCATTACATCCCTTAATCAATCCACTGTCGAACCTAGGCCTCCCGCTAAAGAAAACACAAAACACGGTCCTAAGCCACATGCATCTAATCATCCCACATGTCTTACTGGGTCGTCACTCAATCTAGATCAATCTAGCAGATCTACTGCCTAGTTGATCTAGTGGTTGTATACGTGATTGGTGATCATGGTCTTGGGTCCCGGATCCCGAGTCGGGCCAAAATCAGTTATTGAGTTTTTACTGTCAAGAAACTCAGAAGCAGCCCGGAGTGAGAAAGTCGGCGGTGTTTCACACCCGTGCCTCGAGCACGTAAAGCCGTTGGTCCTGCACCTGATCTCTCCTCCGGTTGTGTCGGATAATCCACACATCTGACTATGAGAGTATGGGGAATAGAGAGTACACCTGTGCTTGCGCATATACTCGGGCACTAAAATTCTGTCCTACGCAGATGGCTAGTTTCCGTTGAGACTGCCGCCCCGTGTTCGAAACTCGGTCTGAAGGACATTATCATTATGCACCTAATCTAGAGAGGCTACGACTCAAGATCTTTCTTTTAAGTTATAACTGTATATTAATATAATTTATTACAGAAATGTACTATTGCACTTGTAATATTTTTACAGAATGGTCAGACATTCAATCCGACCAGTATCGACATGGTAGATGGAAGTACATCCCCTCCAAATTTGTTAACAGAAGCCGATCTCATTGCTCTCATGGAAAAACATGGCATTGGTGAGAAAATGAAGTTAAATCTGACATATTTGTCCTTTATATCCATATGACAATTGCATGTTTTCATTAACTTTACTGTTTTATTTGCTTTAACCTTAGATTAAAAAATTGTTTTTATAATTTAAATTGATGTTGGAGCTATACCAACCACCCAGTTTGTCATTACTCGTAGGACTATTTCCAATTTAATTGTTAAGATGCCGTAATTCAGAGAAATCTTTTATAATATAAGAGTGAAAACTAGTATGGCCTTGGAAGGAAAAAAATAGATCTCACGCCGGGCAAGAGAAGGTCAGCCCGGGGAGCGGCCAACGCCCCGTGTGTTATTACAGAGCTGGTCGATATATAGCGCAGTACTCCGGAACTTTGATAGCATGATTTAGATAAAGCTACAGTTTTGCCTCCCCTGATGACTGTATGATCTCTTACCGTTCAAATTGAAACACAAGGGATGCACTGCTGCTCGATGGCACAAATAGAATAGAATAGAGAAGAATATTTTTTATTCAGTATACATTACATGTGTAATTCTTATTGAAAGTCATTTTTTACTTTACCACTGGTTCGAAAAAAAACCCTCTGTCCTGGGAAGAACCAGCAAGAAACCCAGCGGGACTTTTTTTATTTTTTTTTTTATATATATATAATAAATAAGAGTAGTACCTTTGAGGTGAGGACCTATCCATTTTGTAATCTTTTACAGGGACGGATGCAACTCATGCAGAACACATAGAGACGATAAAAAACCGTTCATACGTCGCCCTCGCGGACGCGATACATTTCGTGCCGGGACTGTTGGGGATGGGGCTCGTTGAGGGCTACGACGCCATGGGCTTGAACATATCCAAACCTCACCTAAGAGCTCAGCTTGAAGCCGATTTGAAAGCCATCAGTGAAGGAAGGAAGCAACCGGAAGTTGTTTTGGCTGAACAGGTATTTTTTTATTAAATAACTTGCCTTGTGACTTGTAACAGGGTAACAAGTGTTACTGACAAATTTGAATGGATCAATCAAATGAAATGGCAAGGATGGCCATTTATATCGATGAATTGACAGCCGATGGAGGAGAAAGGTTTTCGTGTTACGGCCTGTGTACTGCAAGCGCAGAGTACTGCAACACCTCACTAGATAAAGTGAAGATCGTACGAAATGTGCAGGTGATGAATGCAGGTAGCCCAGGACCGTGCTTTGAATCAGTTTTTGGGTCAGGCCAGGGATTATGTTCAGCAGAAGTTCTAAAGGGATGTAAAGTAATGAGTTTAGTAAAAAAAGTAAAGTTACAACTTTTTTTTTATAGGATAATGGTGACAAGCGAGCACCTAGTCCACCTGATTGTAAGTGGTTGCTGTGGCCCATAGACATCTACATCTATCCTCGTTTGTAAATAAAATGCAGATGCGGTATCAGCCGTGAAGAATAAGGTGGAATGCCTCTTTTTCAGTAAAAAGGGTCTCCGGTTCTCTACACTCATGAAACGAAACACAGCAGCATTAAGCTGCTATTTTACACTGGTATTCTGTGAAAGCGTGGCCTTCTCCGGTCTAGCCGACCCATTTGTGCTACAACTACACTATTAATATAGCTGCAGCATGGCTCTACCACGTATAAAATATGCGTCCAACCAAGCGGTACAGGCTTCTCGTTTTTCATAGGGTAGTGGAGGAATAATCCCATACGTGGTAGAGCCATGCTGCAGCTATATCATGGTTGTAGCACGAATGGGTCGGCTCGACCGGGGAAGGACCACGCTCTCACAGAAAACCAGCGTAAAATAGCAGCTTAACGCAGCTGTGTTTCGTATGGTGAGTGTAGAGAACCGGAGACCCTTTTTACTGGCAAAGAGGCATTCCATCTTAGTCCTCACGGGTGACAGCGCATCTGCATCTTGAGTCTTTATTGAGGATAGATGTAAATGTCTATAGGTCACAGTACCCACTTAGCATCAGGTGGACTGTGTGCTCGTTTGTCACCCGATCCTATAAAAAAAAACCGTTTCACCATTTTTCACAATCGTGTAATAATCCTGCTTTTGGCATGCAATACGTTGATCTCGGAAAAAAGTTTTACACGTATATTCATTTCCCCATTTCACGTCTATTTTACCTCTCAATACTAACCCTTAAAAGAAACTTGATAGTTCTAATTAAAAATTTAAACGTATTTGGATAGTCGCATTTTATACCTAGTTAATTCAATTTTACCTGCGAGTGTCTGAAAAAACTTTTGTGAACGACCTACACAGATGATTACATAAATGCATACTTTATGCTAATTTTAGCACGGTACAAAAAAAGACCACAAAGTTTCTTTGCCGGTTCTTTTCTCAGAAAGTTCTATTTTTCGAACTCATGGTAAAGTTTTATATTCATAAGGATTTTGAAAAGCCGTAAAAGAAAGACTTAAAGAAAGTTTTTTTTTCTATTGATGAACGATGGGCCGGAGCAAGTGCCAGAAGTCTGCCTTATAAACCTACGGTGAGTCGAGACGAAGTTAAGTTGGACTGGCTTGCAGGAGCTGAAGACTGCAGAAGACGATTCTCGGGGTGCTTGGAAAGGGTTCTTGAGGATAATGACGAAAACTTCGTAAACTATAACTTGAAAGTTGTAGTTTCCGAAGATTGTTAGTCGCGGGTTCACATCACGTCGGGGTCACCACTGTGGCCGTGGATAGGAAAAGGGCAGATCTCCCGCCGGGCAAGGTGTTCTGCCTGGGAAGCGGCCAACGTTCCCAGTGGTAGTTCAGAGCTATTATTTATATACTGCTTTATTTCGGAACGTTGATAGCGCGATTTAGCTTCGATGGGTTTCGCTTGTGGCGCGACGACAGCACCGCGACAATCTCACACAGTAAACAATTTGATTATGTGCGCGATCAAAGCGAACTTTGTTGTTACAAATTTCCTTAAACTCCAGGTTCTATTAACAATTTTTAGATAGCGAAATACAAGGAGGCGTACATCACAGTAACTGCGGAAGCTAACAAAATCGATAACGCGTTAGCAGAGAGGTTCAGCGAACGACCTAACGAATATGTTCCTACCACCGAGACCCTACCAGTCGATATGCCTACAGGTAATTAAAATTATGTATAATAATAATGTAACAGCAGACCACAATAGGTGACATGTCTCAATAATTTTGAGAAGGTACTGCTGCGGGAGGAGTCAGCACATCGTTCCATTTTGTTTTTTCGTCTTTATTTATCAGAAGTAAAAGTTTTCTCACGAGCTATTTTTTCATCGCCAAGCATGTGGTAAATTAAAGTGGAAATTTATATAGTGTTGTCATTGGTGATCAAACTCTGATAACCAACATAACATAATATGAGAATTTTAACACGATGTGCTGATAGGTAGCTCTAAAATATGAAAATATTTATTGTACCTTTAAACCGAACTGTGTATAAAATAGTATATACCTATTTATTTTAACAACATCACAAACAGCTATATTGCTGTGTGTGTTATGTGTGCTGGGTCTAGGGATGAATAAAAATATAAATATAAAATGATAGTAAAAAAAAAACCTAACCTATACTACTCAAATATTATGACAACGCCATTATAACCAATGGATAACATATTGATTGACGGCTAAGGATCTTTCAACTGATTAATGGTGAAAAATGCAGCCGAAGATGCTGAACCTAAACTTCATAGGCTGATGACGAGTAAGAGCATTAACAGTACGAGGTTATCGACTATAGTCTCTACGCTCACTAATAAACGTAGTGAGTAATGGCAAATAATTCAAGAAATTCATATGAAATGCCAGCTGGCACAATTTGGGGAGGTCTAGGCATTGTTCAGCTGTGGTCCTAAAATGGGTTGGTGATGATGATGGAATTAACAAATAATAGTTTAAATTTTACAAACAACTGGTCCATTCCCGCGTGAAGTAAGAAGTATTGCCTACAAATAATTGTTCCGGGACTGGATGTTTGTCATGTGCAATTCATGCATGTTAAACTCCTCCACAACATATCCTTGCGTGTGAATAATTTTTTTTTTAATTTATTGACCTATATTTTAGCCAATATATTTTTACTACCATTAATTTATTTGAAAATCTTTCGCAGTGCTGAAATGTCCAAAATGCGGAACAGGTATGGTGATAAGGCAAAAGAAGAACAACCCAGAATTGTTGTTTATAAGCTGCCAGTCATATCCGAATTGTAAAAATGCAGTCTGGCTGCCGAGCATCGTCAAATCACTGCAAGTGTTACCAGAAACTTGTCCAAGAGTATGTTTTGTATCGAAATAAATTTTAGTTTTAATTAAAAAAAAAAGATTGTAGCTGCATTACATATATAAATGACTGATAAGTAATTCGCATTGCCTTAAGGGCGGCAGCAAAGTATTCAGACATCAAAACATTTTTTTGCGAAAATAAAATTTACAAATCAGTGTCATACATGTTAATAATAATAATAATTTCTTAATATAATTCATATTTACATTTCAGTGTGGTCCGAACTACAATAAATTGAAATTTGAATGGCGTAATAATTCGATAAGTCACTTATATCCACCACCCTATATCGGATGTATCGGGGGCTGTGACCCTATTTTTCTTGAGTTTCTACAAATAAACCCATCTAGTGTAAAAGCTTCGACAAACACAAACCAAAACATACCCAATAACATCAGACCGAATAATGAAAATCGCTCAAACAATTTAGGACCCAATGCGAACAATATTAGACCAAACGTACAGAGAAATACTTCAATAGGAAATATGCCGTCGCGACCAAATAATACGGGTAATGCGCAACCAAAGCAATTCGCACCTACCAACAATAGTGCTAGAGTACAAAATACAGCAGCACCGACAAGAGTTCCAGCACCAAGGATTGTCGGAGACTCAGAAGACAATAATGTTATATGTGGTTGTAACAAACCAGCGATTCAGTTGACTGTGAGGAAACAGAATGCGAATTTTGGTAAGTAAATTTTTCATTCTCCCTTAAGCTTTTTTATTTCTTCAAAAAATTTCTGTCGACATTTTTTTTTTGTGTATTTCGTTATTCCATGTGTAATTTCAGAATAGAATTTAAAGGTTTCAGATTTAAACGGTCGGAATTTTAAAAAGGTGTTTATAACGAATGTTTTGGGAGTCACCACATTTCGTAATATTTCCTTAGGTAAACTTTTACGGCATTCATATTTAAGAAACGAGACGGACGGATTTCCGTTCAAACGGCAAAAAAATACTATTAATAATGAAATATTACTAGATTATAATATGCCCCTTTTTACTACTGGAAGTGAGGCATTCCATCTTGGGTAACAACGCGTCTAAATTTTAATTCTTAATCGAGGATAAATGTAGATCTCTGTAGCCCACAGCATCCACTTACGATCAGGTGAACTGTGTACTTATTTGTAACATTTATTCTATGAAAAAACGTTCTTCACCTAGACCGTCGCTTGTTTACGACCGTATTTTTCACGATTTTATACTATAAACAACTGCATCATAGATTTTTTTTACACCAGTGTTCATCCCAAAAGCATTAAAATCAGATATAAAAATATTTGCTACTTATTTCTTTTTACCTGACTGCCCCAGAAGGAGGGTATTGTTTTTCGAGTATGTGTATGTATGTATGTCTATTTCTTTAAAGAAATATATAAATGGGCTATAACCTAAATGGCTTGATAGATTTTAACATATTGGGGATCGTCAGATTCGTCTTAGTTGTGTTCTGTAAAGAACAATGGCAGAAAAATAGTTGACACAAATGATTGCGTCTAGAAATAACTTATATATAAAATGAGTTTAATTATTTTTCTATGATTTTTTCAAATAAAAACTTATATTTTTGGGAATATATAATGATTTTAATCATTTTACTCTATTCAAGTGTTGCCATTTACTATATTCATACTATTTTTGTATACACTTTGTAAGACTAGCAACACAACATACAAACACAAAATATTTTTATAGGAAGTTATTATTAGTAATAACTATACTATCAGTAATAATAAACATAAAAGTGATATGGTTGAAAATAAGTCTCTTACAAAGAATGTCCTGCAATAATACATTGTCTCAATTATTGAACTATGTAACAATGCCATTTAATGTCATGGCAACTATAGCCCATATAAAGCGACTACATCAGATGCTGACATTATGACAAATCTTTTTCAGGATGGTTCTACTTTAAGATTGTATTTTAGAGAAGGTGATGTGTTTATACTTGACCGGGATTTCAGGGACAGTATAAGTTTATTAGAAGGATGTGGCTATGAACATGTATGCCAGATTCCCTTCTAGACGGCGAGCACCAACTAACTGCAGGACAAGCAAATCGAAGCCATTGTTTCACAATGTATAGATGGGTGGTAGAGGCTGTTAATGGTCACTTCAAAAGAGTCTTCAAGCTATTAAGGCAAGAATATTTTCATCGGTCTCTACCACACATGATGCAAAGCGTTCAAATAGCCGCAGCTTTGTTAAATGAGTTTAGTGTTCGTTTTCAGGATAATATACGAGTATATGCTAGTGAAATTTAGAAATAATAAGAGAAAGAATGGGTCTCGAAAATAATCTGGCAAACATGGTTCAGGACTTAAATATGAACAGAAGGACATGTCAATTTATTAATATTACTGCAGATCGCAATACTTCCCGACACCAGAATATTCGGAACTAATTCTATTCGCCCTGGGAACGTATCAGATTAGACAAGCACGCTCGTATTATAGCGTATATATATGTACGTTTCCATTGCGGATACTGAATTGAAGTTAGTAGTGAACACATTCATTCTTCTGAATACGGTCTTAGAGGGAGTGGTTTTACAACATTAATAAGAGGAAGAATAAAATCACGCCACGTAGCAAGAAGACAGTATTACGTCTATATTTTAATAGAAAACGATATACCGGGCCGAACTGGTAAGTAGAATAAACCTAGCAAGCTAACAGCATAGCAGTGGCAAAGCAATCAGCTTTGTAGCGGTTTCTAACGGTTGCCGTTGAGCAATCAGTTTCAAAATAGGAGGTTCAGATGCCTGGGTGATCAGTAATCGATTGCTGAAAAATAAAAATTTGAAAATTCGAAACCGTTCTCGAGATAATCGTGGGACAGACGGACAGACATCGTGAAATCAAAAGTGACTTCGCAAGCTTCGCCACTTAATAATGCTGTAGCTGTTTGGTTGGTCGGCGCACTTTGGGGTGCTGCGTCCGTGTTACGACTTTGATGTGGTATTTGGGATGGGCCAGACATCAACAAAGTATCGCAGCGTCAGCAGAATTTTTAGATTCTGTAATTGTAAGAGAAGATGATGAGCAAGAATAAAAATGCAAAATATTATGAATTGTTTAATTTTTTATTTATTACAATAACATTACGCTTGTAATCCCCGAAGGGTAAGGCAGAGGTGTACCTAATAGTACACCCACGTATGTTGTATATATAATAGGGGGCAAGCCTATCAACAGGGCACTAATCCAGACTACATGCCTGTTACTGAGAAATTCCTAATAGAAAAACCCAGTAACACTGCCCGAACCGGGAACCGAACCCGGCACCTCATGCTCAGCAGTCGCGCTTGCGACCACTAGACCAACGAGGTGGATATTTATTAAAAGTATGATGATGAATGCTGCATACATATACCCTATCCAAATCACGTCTTTTTCCCCTTAGCGGTAAGCAGAGAAAACATCCTTCGTCTTGCTACGATCCTGGCATACCTTTTTCGCTTTTTTTACATTCGTCAACGTTTAAGGCATCCATTGACTGTTAGAGAAACCTTCCAGACCTACTTTTGAGTAATAAAAGTAGAATCATCAGCGATGTACTTATGTATAAATATTTTGTTAGTACCCAATACCTACAGGTTGATTGACTTTTACAGTTGAAGCTAAAAAATATACATTTATAGTATGCAAATATATAATAGAGATATAATAATCTAAAAACTCTCAATTATGTAGGTAGGCACATTATGATGAGAATGTATTAAGCTAACATCAAACAACCACAGGACGCATGACTTTTACCAAGCGACATTAGACATAACCTAAAAAGGTTCAAATGTAAATATCTTTTTTTTGACGCCTTCTTAGGACAAAATTCTTTGACAAAGTTACTCAGGGACTGACGCTTAACATTTTAAGATATTTTTGATATATAGACACTACCATTTTTTCTCAAATATGTATGAAAGTCTGCCATTGTTCTTTTGTACGTAGTTGGGTTTTTTTACCGACTTCAAAAAGGAGACTGTACTCAATTCGACCGTATTTTTTTTTATGTGTGTTACCTCATAACTTTTTACGAAGTCGACCGATTTCGATGATTCTTTTTTTATTTGACAGCTGGTGCTTCACATGTGGTCCCATACATAATTTGATTAAGGGCGGACCAATCGTTTTTGAGCTATTCTTAATAATTTATATTGAAGTCGGTTGTACAAAATTTCTAATTTTTAATTATTATTTTAACCATGGGCCATTTCCTTCAGGTAAAAAATTCTACAAATGTCCAGTAGGGAAGGAAAACGGCGGCTGTGATTTTTTCCTTTGGGCACCTGAGTCCGAAGGGAATGTTCTGAATCCTTACGAAACTCCACCTGAGTCGACGATATCTCGCGGCCATGGCTCGTCGCCTAGCAACAGCAGCGGCGGTACTGCAAGGGGCTGGGGCATAGCGCCCAGCTTCCCCAGGGAAGAGTACCAACAGAACGAGGATAATGTTATGTGCAATTGTGGTCTGCCGTGTAAAAAGTAATATATGCTTCATATTTTCTTCCATTCCATCCATCCATTACAGCCTATAAAAGTCCACTACTGAACATAGGCCTCTCCCATAGATTACCTCATAAGGGTATTGATATTTACGTGGTAGAGCTATCCTGCAGCTATATTGTGGTTGTAGCACGAATGAGTCGGCACGACCGGGGTAGTACCACGCCCTCACAGAATACCAGCGTAAAATTGCAGCTCAATCCTGCTGTTACGTATGGTGATTGCAGAGAACCGGAGACCCTTTTTACTGGAAACGAGGCATTCCATCTCAGTCCCCAGGTGTGGCAACGGATTTTGATTCTTAATCGAGGATTTATATAGATGTCTATGGGCCACAGCATACACTTACCATCAGGTGGACTGTGTGCTCGGTTGTTATTCGTGTGGGGTTTAACCATAGTTGCCACGCATTGTAGATGGGTTATCAGGAAAATGCTGCTGCCCATTTTATATTTTAGTTTCCCTCTGTCACCTATTACAACACCCACGTGACGACATGGAAGTGGATATTTTTACACCACCATTACACGGTTTTTTCTTAGTAGAGTGTATAACGAGTGCATGTTACCAGTGATGATACGGATCTGAGAAGTGGTCCTTCAATACTGGCCTTATAAAAAGCTTAAGATCGCTCAGCGAACTACACAGAGGGAATTGGAATTTCCCTGCGTGATAAGCATCGTAATGGGGATATCCGCAGTAAACCTCACCTCTACCCGCCTCTCCACAAAATGGAGTGACATGCAGGGAGTCGATTGATACATGTGGCTCAAAGCCGTCTCTTCTGCCATTTCTTGGGAAAGGCCTATGTTCAGCTGTGGACTTATAAAGGGCTGTAATGATGATATATTGAACGTCTCACATCCTCAAGGAGAATATTCCCATTATATAACATGTAACAAATAACAACTAAGTTGTTATTAGATCGATAAAGATTTTAAAATAGTTAATATTGTAGTTATGTCGAAATTAAGAATGTTAAGTAATTGTTTTTTTAGTAAGCATAGAGTATTGTATCGGCCCTAACCAAATTTTTCTAGTGATAAGGTAAATATTATAAACAAATGTCAAAATCACTAAAACAAAATAAAATTCCCATAGCAAAATTACTGAATATATTTGATTGTTTTTTTTTTTAAATATGATACATAAAGGATATATAGAGTTAATAGTGTCATTTACTGTAAGGGAACTGACACCAAACTATGGTTATGTAGGTCTTTAAGGGCCCTAGTATATACTCTCCATTACTTCATATATAATTCTTTGTCACCTGTGTGTGTGTGACAGAGAAATAGCACGTCATTAATAACAGTTATAATAAAAACCCTTTGCATGAATTCTAAGAATAGAAATTTATGAATTAATATGGCTTTAAGTGGTTTTAAAGAAGAAGGAAACAATATGAACTTGTATACAGCGAGAATAGAACCATAAGACGCGAGTTAGTTAATATTTTTTTATTAAAGTTAGTAAAAATTACCTCGCGTACATCCGCTCGATAAAATAAAATGATGTGTCTTACCTAGTTTGAAGAGCACCTCCCGCCCGCTTTCAATTGTGTGCACTATCACCGTCACCACTAATCCCAGCACCCCTACTCTCAACACCACTACACTAGGAAAGACACACCACTGACGACAATACGACACGTGTTTCGCGTCTACACGAGGCATCTTAAGGTAATCTATACTCTGCGGTGGCTGACCACTAAGTGAGCGGCGAGCCAAAACAACTCCTATTTATCTTTATATATAAAAATTACGTGTCACATTGTTTGTCCGCGTTGAACTCCTAAACTACTGTACTGATTTCAATGAAATGTTGCACACTGTGTGCAGTTTAGTCCAACTTGAGAGATAGGATAGTTTTTATCCCGATAAATGACCCTCAAAAATTTTTATTGCGAATGTAAGGATTTTTATAGAAAAGCAAATGGTGGTCGTAAAAGGCAGAACAACCTCTGCCTGGTCAGCTAGTATAATAATATTTATTATTTTAAAAATCTCTTTCAGGATAACAGTCCATAAAGAGGGTCCGAATAAAGGACGCCCGTTCTACGGATGTCCAAAAGATTTCAATTCGCGATGCAATTTCTTTCAATGGGCTGATTCTGGAAGCACAGGTAAGAGATAAAAGAAAAACAAGCCATCCTCATGAGTGATAATGTTTCCAGAACTTAATGTAATTTGATAAATGGTTATCTTAATGTAATATCTATGATCATTCTCGAAATTTGTCATTAAAAGTTAGAACAGGATAAAGTTCCAGTTATGGGTATTTTCAACTGACATCAAACAGGAGGGGGTACTCAATTCGACTGTATGTTTTTTATGTGTGTTAACTTATAACTTTTTTCCGGGTGAACCGATTTTGATAATTCTTTTTTTGGTCATGTGGTCCCATATAAATTTGACCAAGGTGTGACCAGTAGTTTTTAAGTTATTCTTAATAATTTAAATTGAAGACGGTTGAAAAAAAATTACAACTTGTGTTACTGTAATGTTAGAAAATAATATCAACAGATATCCTAATTTTTATTTTATTTAAATTAATTTCATTGCGTTGTAGTTTTAACTTTATTCTAAATTACTTTCGTTTATTACTACACTCCTATATTATTTTCGAAGACCTCTATCTTAACAGAGAAATGTATTTGCATGATGCCATCGCACGGATATAAATTTGTCACTGTCACTAATTGATTTAATAAATAAAATAAAGATCTTTCTTGTCTTTCAAACGTATTCATGACGCATTATCTTAATTAGAAGTAACGGTCCATTAGAACTACTTCTGACTATGATGTGATCCATATGTTCTGTCTAAAAAACGTTCTTGTGAAGAGTGTAACTGAGGTTTTAAAGAAAGTTTTCCTTGCAGACCGCGCGATTAATTCACTTTGGTATAAAGAAGTCATTATAATGCGTGGTTATGACTTATGCAGTAATATAAGTCAAACACTCAAACAAACACACAAAAAAAACGAGCGAGTCTTACATTACAGTAGTCGCATATGATTTGTAACATCTGACATCTCGCCTTAGTAATAAGCAACTTTAACATTATATCCTGACAAAACCCAATCAAAATTAAAAAAAATCAATTGAGCAGCTAAAGAAATTAACACCAAAAATTAAAAATGCTAAATACTGAAACATTTATCCGCATGAATTCATTATTACTCACTTGCATTATTTATCAATGATCTGCACTTTTTTCAGACACTTATTATCAACAGGAAATACATTTATCGATATAGCTTACACTGTCACACACTTCCGTCCCTTTTCACGAAATCACTCCCATAGATTACGGGAAAGCGAGAGAAAAGATGTTACACATCAAAAAGTTTAATGCTGTAATTTTTTTTGTAACTTGCAGTGGAATGGGGCGGTAGTAATGCGACACGAGGCAGAGGTCGAGGTCGAGCCAGTGGCAGTGGCAGTGGCAACGGTGATGCTGGAGGACCGAGAACGAGGAAATGCGGTCTTTGTCGACAAGAAGGACACACGAGATCTCGTTGCCCTAATAATGTGTCATAAAATGACTGAAAATTAACAGTAAAGTAATCAATCCGTGTAGCTAGACACATTTAGAAATGTTTTTTTTATAATATCGGAGACAAATAAGTTACAAACTATCTGACAGTGAATCTCTACTGCAGTCCACTTATATACCCCTGCAACTATCTACAAATAAAAAATCTTCGAGTGCGTTGCCGCCCAAACCAAAAGTACTAAGTTGGAATGTCTTATATGATTTATTCTATAGTTGTTTTATAATTAGCCTATGATTCCCTATATTCCCTAACAAAACTTTGTATCTAAATACAAAAATGAATGAACTGCTGCTCAGTTCTTCATTTATTAATTCATTATGGACTTATCTAAAGTAAGCTCCTGAACCCTTTCTCTTCTCTAACGGTGCGTACATATTATATAACATAACATGTTATATAACGTGACACAAATCTATACTAATATAATAAAACGGAAGTTTTTTGTTTGTTTAAACGCACTAATCTCTGGAACTATCAGTCCGATTTGAAAAATTTTTTTTGTATATTATAGCTAGATTCATGTGAAATAGTATAGGCTATCTAGCATTAAGCTATATCACTCAGCTAGCCTTAAATATGGATATTTGTTAAGCAAGTCAGAAGAAAAAGCACTCCCGAAATGATTTATCCGCGTACGCTGGTATTATCGTCAGGGATACGTAAATACAATGTTCTAGAAAAATATAGACCTTTACTCCGTCTAAAAAAAAGTCCGCGATACCATATGTCTATTTCTTATACATAAGCCATAATTTGGTATTTTGTGACAAAAAAAATATTGAAAATTTAAAAGTAATTTATGAGCGTTATTATTAGGCATGGCCTATTTATCCTTACGAACGAAAGTTACTTCATCATCAAGACAATTTTATGAAGATAAACTTTGTTCTTTATACCATGTTATTTGGACGCATAGTTTAAGAGATAATGTAAAATTAAAATAATTCAATACTTGGCTGGGCGCGCAAACGACGCTTAAACCCTAGCCGTTATAAAATGCTTGAACTAGGTCATGTCGCGCACCTCGGACACGTGATGACGCGGGTGAAACCGCGAGCAACCGTATTCCGCGTACCGTACCGTAACCGTACAATTTAATGCCACAGCTGAATAATATTTTTCTGGTCATAAGCAAGACCAAGTTCACGTTCACACAATTTCAGTGTTGTAAGTAGGTAAATAAGAAATTAATTTCGTGAATATCTCCATTATACCGAAGGTTTTTATTTATCCGGGTGAGTCCGTGAATACATTTCCCATTGTATAATTCAAATTGCCGTCAAATAATTTATTGACATGATATGTTAGAGGCTGGAAGTGAAAAATGTGATGAAAGGGATGGAGTATGAGAAAATGATAAAGAAACATTTCTATACTTTCCAAAATTGCGAACACAATTTTTTGATACTTTAATATTTAATCATAGTGATAAATACGATGCCATACCTACGCATGTTGCAGCATATAATACTAAGACGATGTTATATAGATATGTAAATAATAACATTTCAACTAAGTGTAGTTAGCAAAAAATTAATAACTGTAGAATATATTATGTAAATATAATACTTTGTTATTTTGTATTTGTTTTATTAAAAGTTTTTCAGTATTTTCCTTGTGTTTAATTTTAATTTTTTTAATTAATAATGTACTCGTCTACTCAAACCCACTGGCTTAGAATAGCAGTCCATACGTTTTGAATACTGTTGCTTTTATTAAATTTTTGCCAATTACTTGTGGTACACATATAGTGCGTAAATAGAAAATTGTTTAAGACACTGAAACATTTGGTACAAAGACGAACGGTATGTGCGAGATAATATTTGGTAGCGTGGTAAGAGCTATCGGTACAACCGCAACAAAAAAAAAACAACATTTACTTATTCTAATTAACATTTACTTATTTTATAATATACAATATTTTGTTAATGTAATACTTTATACATATTCAATTTATATACTTACATATAATTTTTTTAAATTATATCGGTGTTTATAACATAATTTAAAAATTAAAATCTTTTTAGCATTCTTTTTACTAGCTATTATAAATTCACCATTTTTGTTTTTTACTCTTCTGCTTCAGGGAGCCAAGGCTCTGTGCTCGCTGCATTTCAGCTTGTTGCTCTGCTTCCACAGTCTTGTCGGTCATCATATCGAGTAGTATCTCAAATTTAAGCCGGAGCATATTATTTTCCTCTTCAAGTTGTTCTAGTTCCTTCTTTAGACGGTGATTCTCTTTGTGGGTAATCCCTGCGCGACCAGATGCTGTACCAAAAACGAAGATATTAAAGACACATTATGTAAGAGTAACATATTATATCTAAGACACATAAGGATAACCTAGCTGATTAAACGATTATCACATTATACATGAAATGTATCTATTATTGCATTAGGCACTGCATTTGATGTGATGTGCACTAGACAGTAGATAGACAGGTCTAATGCCAAGTGTACCTAACACAAGGCGGGCCTAGTGAGCGCAGAGTCGATACATTCTCACCGACAAATCTGTTTCACATCACCAGTCTACGAAATCCGAAGATTTACCGTCATCAGTTCGCCGGCATAGCTTCATCCGGCAATGGAGAGTAATAATCTACCGCTCAGATGTCACTAGTTGGGATTGAAGTGAACTTATTTGTCACAGTCAGATGGTCACACAGTATCATCATTGAATTGAATTTTTGCGGTTTCTAGTGTATAGCAGTATGTTGAACATACTAACACTATTTTTTTTTATAGGATAAGGTTGACAAATGAGCACGCAGTCCACCTGATGGTAACTACTACTACTAATATAGCCATGCTGCATCTATATTAGTAGTATAGTTGTAGCACGAATGGATCGGCTGGACTGGGGAAGGAACACGCTATCACAGAATACCACCGTAATATAGCAGCTTAACGCTGCTGTGTTTCGTTTGGTGAGTGTAGAGAACCGGAGACCCTTTTTATTGGATACGCATTGCATTTTGATTCGTATTCGATGATAGATGTAGATGTCTATGGGCTACAGCAACCACTTACTACCAGGTGGATTGTGCTCGTTTGTCACCCTTATTCTATATTTAAAAAAAAAACATGATTCAGTGATATTTTTTGTGAAGAGGTACGACATACTAACTACTAAAAATACTTTCCATAATGACTTCAATACACATATTGCACAATACCTGGAATCCACTGGCCTTCTTCGAACGACACTTCGAAATCTCCCAACTTCAACTTGAGGGGGCATAAGTCTATAGATAATTCCTTGGAGGCATAGTCACTGCCAAACTCATTTCTTATTACTGAAGTATCTTGTCGTCGCACAGGAATTGTTTTTGGCGTAAATTTGTTGCTAAATAATGGCATTTCAGGTTATTTCTAAAAGCAATTTCTTTAAAGCGTATGAAATCAAAACAAACGGTTTCCATGGTAACAAGTAACAACAAACTCCACAGACTACTAAAAGGATAGACAAACTCTGTGGGAAATGTCAAATGTCACTGTTATGGTCCCTAGATGGTCTAAGCCTCTCGCTAGAGAGTAGTATGTTCCTTGGTCTAAGCCTCTAGATTATTCGTCTTAATCTTAATACACAAAATCGCACCCCTTTTACATATCAAAGTACACTTCAAACCATTATTTAAACAATAATACAGGAGCAGCAAACCGCCGCGGTCAAGTTCCCGCCAAAACCTCTTCTAGATTATTATATACCTATACCTATGGGTACCTATGACCCAGAGAATATAACTAAAATGTTTTAGCTATATCAATAAAATTTGACTGGTACTCATCATCGTTATCACCATGAAAAGTAGTAGGTAATTATTATGTTTTATCATAACTATAGCCTTTTACAATTCCATTGTTGAACATAGACCTTCCCAAGGAATGCCACAAATGTTGTAGACGAGTCTATATTAATGCCAAGGAAACATAGAATCTACCAATTCAATTTTTTAATGCATTTCATTGCATTGCTGGCTAGATGCCATGGGGCTAAGAGTTCGCTATAAACATCACAGTATGCAAGGAACCTGAGTTCGCACCCCGCCGGCCAATGAAATTGTTAATTACAATTTTAAGTGCTGATTATCACGTGATCTACGGTGAAGGAAAACATCGTGAGGAAACCTGCATATCTTATAAATAAAAAAAAAACGTGTGCAGTACGCACGTGGTAGAAGTGAACCCTTCAAATTAAACAAAATATGAAACAAAAACAAGTCACAGCAAATGATTTATTTAATCTAATAATTTTCAATGAAAAGTGCGGCATAAAATATAAGATAAAAGTTTAATTTTCGGCATAAAATATAAGCAAATAAATGTTACAATTTTTATTTTTGGACATGTAGAGCCTAAATTTTAGTGTAGGTACCAAATCAAAAGAATATTTTCTTTCAACTAAAATTGCTTTGTAATAGTGACGTCTACTGAAGCCAATCAATTTTTGTTCGATAACATAATTTTACCTATACAATGAATTCTAGTAAAATCATTTTATCGAACCACGAAACAAAAATTGATTGATTGACTCTCAAGTTGGTCCGTAAAATAATGTATATAATATATAAAATAATATAAATCGGTAAGAAGAAGAAGAAGATAATGAATCTGAAAGAAGCGAAAGAGGTATGTAAGGATCGTGACACTTGGCGATCTGTTCTCTCTGGCTACCCCGTCAGGGATTGTGCGTGAAGATAAGTAAGTAAGTAAATCGGTAAGATATGAAATCGTGGATTTTTATGAATGGTTTTGATATTTTATTTATTTGATAATACTTTTTTAATTCATTATTTTAACATTTAAAAGTTATATTTTTTTGGAGTTTGACGGCTTCGTGGCATAGCAATTGAGTTGCAGCGCTAAGGGCTGCGGGTTCGAATCATGCACGGGACAAGTATTTCTTTGGGCTAGGTATTGGTCCTTGTGCAAAATATGTTTGTAAACTGGCCCCACGATACAGGAGAAAATCCTATTGTATAGGTAACGTTTAAAAAAATAGCCATTTTTAAAGCACCGCACACAGAGGAAGCCAAGATAATGGGAAACACTTTATACTGAACTAGGTGTTCCCCGTGGTATCATCACCCGCGTATATCCCTCTCTGAGCCATGCGACATGACACTTCGCATATTCTCTTTCGGTTATCATCGGATGAACAGGCGTCGTTCGTGCGCCGAGTAGTGTTGAATTATTTTAGTTTTTCATTAGCTCTTAATATATACGTCCAAATAACATGCTATAAAAAGCAAAGGTTATCATCATAAAATAGTCTTGATGATGAAGTAACTTTCGTTCGTGAGGATCATTCATTGAATTCCAAATCACAACGATGCTAAAAGAAGTTTTCAACAAAAATACCTTATTGTGGTTTATGTATAAGAAATAGGACTTGTTTTAGACAGAGGAAAGATTTATATTTTTGTAGAACATTGTATTTACGTATCACCGTTACGCCAGCGCACGCGGATTAAGCAGTTCGGGAGCGCTTTTTCTTCCGACTTGCTTACCAAAAATCAATATTTAAGGCTAGCTAAGAGGTGTAGCCTTTTTTTATAGGATAGGGTGACAAACGAGCACACAGTCCACCTGGTGGTAAGTGGTTGCTCTGGCCCATAGACATCTACATCTATCCTCGTTTGCGAATCAAAATGCAGATGCGTTGTCACCTGTGATGACTAAGGTGGAATGCCTCTTTTCCAGTAAAAAGGGTCTCCGGTTCTCTACACTCACCATACGAAACACAGCAGTGTTAAACTGCTATTTTACGCTGGTATTCTGTGAGAGCGTGGTCCTTCCCATTCGTGCTACAACTATACTACTAATATAGCTGCAGCATGGCTCTACCACGTTGAAACCTAATAGCCTAAACTATTCCTCATGAATCTGGCTATCATATACTGAAAGAATTTATCAAATCGGACTGAAAGTTCCAGAGATTAGCGTGATTAACCCGTTATATTATAGTATAGATTCTATCTCATTCTCTTCTATAGATTTATATATTTGTCTCTGTGTCGCTTTTTCGTTTCATTTGTTTCAAATCAGAACGATTCCTAAAGAAGTTTACAATTCAAAATTTCGAAGACACGTGAAGTCCACCAACACGCATTGGGACAGCGCGGCGGACTTATACCTTCTCAAAAATAAGAGAAGGCCTGTGCCTAGGAGTGGGAAGTAGTCCATCAGAAGCATTCTAATGGAAAAAGTCAAAAAGGTTTATTATAATTATTTAAAAGTTAAGAATTCTTGGACAGACTAATTAGCAATCATTTAACTAGTTAGCTAGTCAAATTATAGTATAGGTATATATAAGCTTCCTAGATCTGATTTGCGTTTTTCGACTTAAGTTTAAATTGTAACTGTTGGAAGAAAAATTGACTGTCTACTTGTGAGTTACTGCTTCTTCTCACAGGGTCTACCGCAATGTAGCGATGGCGTAGATTTTTGACTTTCAATTCAAAAGCATGACAGGCATCCATCCAATACCCTGTATGTTTAAGAGTTCGTCAAACCAAGCTAGCAGCTAAAATTCAGAAGAATCATTGCAATTTGCAGCGTAATAGTTGCTAAAAAACTGATCTTGTTACTCAAATCGATTTGTAAAAAAACAATAATCAAATCAATGATTTAAATTATAGGTAGTAATTTTGGTATTTGTTTTCCAAACAGTGTTTCTTTAAAAAGTCTATATCCTAATGGTCGGTATCCTGGTCTGTCCACAGAATCAGCGATATTCTGTTTAAAACAAACTGAGAATAGAGAGATACTGGTATGCCCGAGGAAATCAACAAGATCTTAAAATTTTGGTATCAGAACCAGGTCAATATCAATGGAAAAGTTTTCGAAGCCGTACTAGTTGGAGTGTGGTTATGTACTTAATGGCTTACATGGCTTACGGTCGCCCAAGGTCTTCAACCTCTTCGTCATTGCGCTCATAGTGGTGCTTAGTACCACGCATGTCTGACGTCATATTGACGGAGTATAGCTCAATAACGTCAGTTACGCTGACGACATCGTGCTGTTGCTGAGTACATCTGTCTATGGTTCAGTTGACTCTGACCTGAAAGACGACGCAGATATAGAAAGAGAACGCAGGGCGTTGTCTGTTAGGCTGAATATGATCGTACGCAGATTCACTCGTTGTTCCCTGCTAATCAAAGGCACCCTTTTCAGAGCATACTGCACTTCCTTCCACATGAGCAGCCTGTGAGTCGATTACACGCAGAAAAAGTATAACGCCCTGCATGTACAGTATGATAATGCATTCAGGATTTTTTTATTACAGAATAAGAGCAACAAACGAGCACACAGTCCACCTGATGGTAAGTGATGCTGTAGCTCGTAAACACCTACATTTATCCTCGATTAAGAATCAAAATGCAGATGCTGACAACGCATGAGGACTACGATGGAATGCCTCGTTTTCGGTTCTCTACACTAACCATACGAAACACAGCAGCATTAAGCTGCTATTTTACCCTGATATTCTGTGAGAGCGTGGTCCTATCCCGTTCGAGCCGACCCATTCGTGCTACCACCATAATGTAGCTGCAGCGTGGCTCTATCACGTAAAAAATGATGAGTATAGTACACATAACAAATGAGATGCTGATGGGGCTGCCCCGATTTTGCAGCGCATAAGGGATGTTCGCCAAGGCGCGTGTAGATTGCTTTTACACTACTATACGAAAGTGGTGCACACTTCCTTATGAATACTCTAAGGGTGTGATATGATATAGATGGCCCGGACTCTGCGCAATAAGGATTTATTGCGCAGAGTCCGGGCCATCTATATCATTCCCACAATTAGCACTCGAGTTGGCATTGCCAAGTGCAGTAATATGTATAGGTTATAGTCAAAACTCATAACCGATCAAAACCACTTTTGACTGCGAAAATCAGGCAAAAATGGTTTTGACCGGTGCTCTTAGTCAAAAACAGTTTTGACTGATTTTTGCAGACAAAAGTGGTTTTGACCGGTTAAGAGTTTAGACTGTAACATATTATGTACTCAAGATTTTATTGATGCTCATCCTTTGTTTCAATTCTTACTTGTAGCCAGTGTACCTACGCAAAAATGTTTTTAAGCGTTCACTGTGTTTAACATCTTTATCGTGGCCACTCATAAAACATTTTTTTTTTATTTTTTTATTTTAACGTAATATAAATTTACACTATTACAGTCTTACTGTCTATCAAACTGCTCAGCTGTTTGTTGGCAGAAAAAAATGCTCTCTTTACTTCCTTAGCAAGCAAAAAAAAATAGCTTAAATTATTTAAGTGAGTGAAATAAAACAAGAGTAACTGAAAAAAAATATTTCTTTTAATACTGATTGATATTCGAACGGTAATATCTCAATACAGATGTAAAGCAAAAGCATTAACTTAAACGGTAAAAGTCAAAAATATAAATATAATGAATACGTTTACTCGTAACTATAAAATATGTAATTGCATAAATACTGTATGAAGTGTGAATATAAATAATTGTTCATGTTTTCAGTCTAAATAACATCACAGCAGGGACGATTAGAATTATTGATCCGAAAGAGTAGGTTGTCGCGGCCCCAGAGTACCAATACGCTGAAACAGTAATAATAAAAGGATAAAGTATGTAGTATGTATTAAATGGTTAGTAAAAGTATAAAAAAAGGTTAGAGTTATAAGTAATGATTTAGAATTATATATTGTTGTCACCATATATAAAAAAAAATCTTATTACGTATTTTTGTCAGAAATCGCAAATCGTGCCATTTCTGCCATTTATATTACTGACTGGACTGGTAATCAAAAAATGATACTCATACTATTATAGTCATTCATTCATTCATTCGTTTATTCAATATAGCCTGTCAAAATTCCACTGCTGAATATAGGCCTCTCCAATTAATAGCGTCATGGGGAGGATTTTGTTGAACTTGCAACACTTAGCAGGCGGGTCGGCTACCGCCTGTTTTTTGTTATTTTGAGTTGTTATCAGGAAGACGCTGTTGACAATCTTCTGTTTTAGTTTCCCTCTGTCGCCTCTTATGAAACCTACAGGACGATATGGAGTAGTGGATATTTACACCGACACTACACAATAGACATTCTTAAAGTTAACTAAGCTAATAACCTTGATCGCACCCAGTTAGCAACAGAGTAATTAGCCTCTGAGCTACTCACCACTACTCTTATAATTAATTGACTTGGTGATAAAAATATCACAACCAAAGACTTCTATGTTTACTACAAGACGAGCTCTGCGGCATTAATACATTGCGCATTGTATTGTAATGCGGCAAGCGCGCATTGTATTGTAATGCGGCAAGCATAGAGTAATACGGGCCACCGGCCGACCGGAGAGGAGTAGCCATAGCGTTCTTCTCCAATACAGAACTGTGTCATTTTTAGCGGGAGGTAATCTACGCATACAAAAACAATTGTCTGTCACTACGAAACTCAGACTAACAATTAAAACAGTAAACTAAGAATTTCACACACACACACACGCATAGATGCATTATAACACTATTGCTCGATGACAGCGACAAGTCTGATATAGATATAGACTGATCAGTCGCTTGACCGATCTATAGATTGTATGATAGTAAGCGGCCTATGGTAAACAAATCCGAAAATTGCGTAAGTAAATAGCAATAATGGGATTAAAATTACTTATATATGAAAGGTAACGGCCATATTATTGTAAATTTGACGTGGCAGATCTCTTTTTGCAGCTAAAAGCTGAACAATTCGGTATTTTTGTAGAACGTCGTATCAGCCGCGTAACTAAATTTAGTCTAGTGAGCAGTCGCGGCTGCAACTGGTTTTATTGTACGCATACGACCGTGTGGACATGTACTTTGAGGCGTCCGAGAAAGGAATGCCTGCGTATGGCTACTCCCCAGGGATCCACCGGTGGGCCGTGTTGGTGTGTGGCGGCAAGCTTGCAGGTGTGCATAGAGCGAGTACTCACCGGCGGAGGCCAGCAGCGGGCCGGCGGCGCGCGCCAGGGCGCCCAGCGAGCGCAGCGCGCCCAGCACGGCGCCGCGCGCCGCCGCCGGCGCCTGCGCCGCACCCATCGACGTCATACACGACACCGCGAACGCTGTCGCTGCGCGCCAAATCATTACAAATAAACAAACACTTTATGTTGGCACACACCAATAACGCGTACACAATACGAAATTTTTATAGGTTTTGCTTTATTAAATAAAAAACAAACTACTTTTTGAAGTGAAAACTTCTTTTAGCATCGTTGTGATTTGGAATTCAATGAATGATCCTCACGAACGAAAGTTACTTCCTCATCAAGACAATTTTATGAAGATAAACTTTGCTCTTTATAGCATGTTATTTGCACGCATACTTAGTTCATCAAATCATTTAATGTGAAATGTTTTTCTTTTATATTTAATTTCATTCGAAGGTTTCACTTCTACCGTGTGTGAACTGCACACATGCTTTTTTTTTCTTCATATTCTTATATTGTCATCTGATTCTAAGCTATATTCAAACTTCAAATCTCTAACTCATCGGGAAGTTATTTTGAAATCAATTACTAAATCCCACCCGAAGAAACATAAACCAAAGCGAGTTAATAAAAACGTGGTAAAAATTATCACTTATTTTTACAAAAACATGTCACAAGTTAATTTATGCAAGCCAAACTACATAAAGATAAGACAACATGAATAAAGAAAATTATTCAAAAAAGTTAATCAAAGTAAATTATTAATAAATTGAGAACCTTCTAATTCGAAATGTTTTACATATTTGATGCCTTGTTTACCAGTTAAAAAATAGGTCGCATTTTCCTCTCAATATGCTCCTTTATCGCTGACTTCTAGTCGTCTAAAAATTTTCATCCCTGCAAGTCCTTTGGTTTTGGTTTGGACTTTTAGACGGAGGACAGTTTATTTCTTCAAAGCTAGCATCGTAAGTCATGCATATGGACAGGTACATTTTCTTACAAAATCAATTTCACCTTTATCGTCTTAATTTTTTTAAATGGCAGTGACATTGTACTCCATATTTATTATTATACTAGCGTGCCCCGCGGTTACACCCGCATATATCACGTATCTGAGCCACGCGACATAACATGACACCTAATTCAAGCAATTTCTATAGCAATGTATAAAAACATTGGTAAATTGCTATCAACCTCTAATACATATAAAAGCGATATCATTTATAGTTTCCGCGCAACCTGCCAAGGAATATGTACATTATTTATCATTTATCAATTTTTTTGCTCAAAGTTTAGCTATCTCAAAAATTTCCTACTTTACCTCCAAGATATGTATATTTAAAGTAAACAGTAGAACATGTTCTTTAAAAAGAGGTATTATTTATTTCTAAACTCTTTCATTTCTCGTTGCTACGCTATTTGGAACGTTGAATTGATTAATAAGCGAAAGAGGTTGATAGCAAATTTACCTAGAATAATTTCGTACCTACACACTTTTCGTGTATCGGGTACTGATTTCTTCAAAACTGGAAAAAACCGTGATTCGCGAGTTTTGGGGTGCAGGGGGTGACGCTTACCCGAGAAAGGAAGGGTGAGTGGATAAAATATAACTTTGTTCTATAATGTATATAAAGCGATAGATAAAAGTACTCCATTAATTTTGCGAATTTTTAACCGAAATCGATTAAACTAACCTCGCCCATAAAGGCGTTCGCTGTTCGTTTCTCTGGGTTCTCTCATCGGGCGGCTAGGGTCTATATGCGTCATTCATACGCGGATCCAAGTGTTGAATTATTTAAAATTTTCATTATCTCTTAAACTATGCGCCCAAAGAACATGCTATAAAAAGAAAAGATTATCTTCATAAAATTGTCTTGATGGTGAAGTACCTTTCGTTCATAAGGATTTTTCAATAATTTTTTGTCATTAAATACCTTTTTGTGGCTTATGTATAAGAAATAGACATAATATGGTATCGCGGAATTGTTTTAGGTGGAGTAAAAATGTATATTTTTGTAGAATGTTGTATTTACGTATCACTAACCATTACGTCAGAGCACGCGGATAAATCATTCCGGGAGCGCTTTGTCTTTTGACTTGCTTAACAAATCATATATCAATATCAATATTTAAGGCTAGCTGAGAGGTGTAGCCTAATGCCAGATAGCCTTTACTATTCCTCATATATACAAAGAAAATTTTTCAAATCGGACTGGTAGTTCCAGAGATATTTTATATGTATAGATATTTAGGGATGTAGTCAGTCTATTGAGAAAATTCTTTCAGTATCCCAAAAATGAAATAATGGAGAAATAAACAACACTAAAAGAATCATATTGATAAATTGATAAATGCTTACATAATGCGAAGAGTACGAGACCAGCCCACAGCCAAGCAATAGCTGACAGGAGAGGTGGTTTGTTACACGCAGCTAGTGCCACGCACAGGAAAGAGAGTGGCGTAAGTATCAATGCCCATCGTGCTGCCCGTTCGGCTCCTTTTGGACTTAATCTTCTAGCAGCCCCTCCTTGTAGCACTGCCATTATCAACCCTAAAAACAAAATTTCCTTTTTCACGACTGTTTACCAGATGTTAAATGACATTGCAGTCAGCTTCAAATAGATAATAGTACAGGATTAAGTAGTTGATTATTGAACTGTGTGAAGTTAGCGCACGAGCGAAGCGTGTGCACTAACTTCACAGTAATCGACTACTTAAGTTCCTTGTATTGTATATTATTTTATAGTACAAGTGACTTAAATCCACTTTTTTAATTGAAAAATTGTAGAATACTAAATGATTATAAAGACAAAAATCGTGTCAGAGCGATCTAAAGTATCAACACCATGTCCGAATGAGGAAGTTTTGTTAGTAAATACATACAATCAAAAAGTTTCAGTACAACAATTAAAACATCAATCTAAAAATTTAATTAAACGGGACTAAAGGTGCAACGAGACTCGATTTACAGAAGTTTTGTATGATCCCGATGTTGGCTTATATGTAAATGATTTATCAAACCTGAATTCACAACGGTCTTATTTTTTTTAGCAATTGAAATGTGACGGTAAGTGGTAGTAATGGCAGGCCTGTATCACTTCGCGCTTTAGATATGAAAATATACATACGCTGCGCGGCCCTATACCTAGTCAGGTCATAAATTCTGTCACATTTTTAATATAAAATATTTGAAACAAGTTTATTCATTATGTAACCATTTATATACCAAAATGAACTTAACAAAACATAGATTCTTATGACACTAAAGTTTATTCAAAATGACCTCCGTGATTTTGAATACAGGCCTTCAATCTGCGCGGCCAGTCGTCTATCGCAGCACGAACGAGGTCCATGTCAATATCGGCGGGTGCCTTAATCAAGGATGTCTTGAGTGACTCCAAATTGGGATGAGGCTTTGAGCACGCCTTTTCCTGAAGTATTGCCATATCTTGTAATCTAACGGATTCAAATCTGGACTGGAGGAGGGCCAGTCTTCGTGCCGGATGAAGTCGATTTCACGCGCCGCCAGCCAGTCTTGTGTGCTCTTCGCTCTATGAGCTGGCGCCGAATCTTGTTGGAATACCCAGTGCCTGTTATTGAACATGGTATGAGAAACAGGTTCCACAAGGTTCGTCAGGACTGTATTTCGATACACAACTGCATTCGTTTTTACACCTTTCTCACAAAAATGTACCTCTGTTGAGCCCCAATAAGAAACTCCTAACCATACCATGAGCGAGGATGGAAAATGACCTCTTTGGACACGCGGAATACGCGTACACCTTATCATTTTGTTTGTTGTAGCTCTCTTCTACGGTAAAAATTTTTTCATCCGAAAAAAGAATTTCCCGATATTTTTTTCCCGCGTACCGCTTCAACAAAGCGCGGCATCTCTTCAGTCTCAGGTCCATTAGACGAGCATTCAAACGATGTCCTGTTTTTCTTCGATATGCCCGAAGCCCTAAGTCTTCATTTAACACCCTTTTCACCGTGGTTCTGCTTAACCCCATCTGAAGGGCCAACAGTTTCTGCTTACGTTTGGGATTTCTTTGAATTCGCGCCTTCACAGCTTTTATCACTGCTGGAGTCCTAACAGACCGAGGGCGACCACTTCTTGACCTGTCATCTACACTAGAGTCTTCATTGTATCGTTTGATGGTACGATAAACGAATCTTTTGGTTATATTCAAATATTTCAATATGTCAAAAATTTGAATTGGCGCGTAACCGCAACGATGCAACGCAATAACTGCAACACGGTCTTCTTTAAGCGTCCACTCCATATTTAAAAATGAGTAAAATTCTAAAAAGTATACAATTTTATTTTCATGAACAATTCGAAATTCGAATTCATTGAACTTTTTTGTGGCCAGCATTCTAAAAGAAAAGTTTTTACTGTGTGACAATACTTATGACCTGACTAGGTAAAAGGGGCTAATTCCGAGAGGTTGTAACGCGCGCGCTCGAGCTGACTCGCGTCTTACGTTAAAAAAAATATTTTTCTCTTGTAAGTATTTAGGCACTTTTTAAGTTTATTTTTGAGTTTTTATTCAAGTATAGCCTCTCAAAAAGCTAAAAGGTACTGCACAGCATGCTTAAATAACAATAGCGAAAGGTAAGATATTATTATTTATAGGTAGATCTAGATAATTAGGTACCTACCTAGGTACTGACGCCATAGTTACAGATTATTTGATTAGCGACCCGACCACATCTTCCCAGTTTTTGATTTTTTCGCGTATGACCTTAAATATGTTCAGTGTAAGTAGACCTCCCAGTACTAGTGACTGCCTACTAATGCAAGATCTGCATATACTGGAGATTTGTTTAGCACTTGGTCGATAAAAGAAAGAGATTAAAAATAACAGCACTTCTTCGCGTATCGCATGTTTGTAAATAGCAAAAAATGTGAAACAGACAAGTGACGGCTCCGAGGCGCAGTGGCTTAATAGTGTGTTGCAGCGCTAAGGGCCGCGGGTTCGAATCCCAGACGAAACAAGTATTTGTATGGCCTACAAATAATTGTTCTGGGTCGGTTCCATGGAGCAAATACAAAGAGGATGGGTTGTAATTAGATTTCACTACGTAACAACACGTGACAATTTGAGGGGTAATTGTGTTAAGCCCCGCCCACTTAACTTTTTTCCATCTACCGATAAATAGTAAAATTACTCGCATCGTTTCATACCGATGTGGTAATGTAGTTTAGCTACCTTGACGATAGATGGCGGCCTGTTCACAAAATTATTATAAAAACTATATAAATAATATTTTGGCGATTAAAAATACTTTAGGACTGAATGCAAAACAAATTTCAGCACCTTCGTATGATTATTTTATCAATATTGAGCTCTACGTACCTTTATATTTTTAGTTCCTATGACACAAAGTGTCGCCATCTAGTGTCGAATATGTTTAATTATATTTGAAAGCTCAGGCAGAGATTTTTCTAGAAATATTTTAATAATTTAGGTATCAAATTACTTACAAATGAAATATGATGCCATCCATAGCATCAGAGCGTCTATCTGAGTAGTTTTTACACAATAAAACACTTCATACTTTTCTTCTTAATACTACGAAAATACACCGATTTGCGATTTTCGACACATAAGTGTTTTAACGTAGGCTGATTTCTCGAAGTTCGTTTCCGAGGCGTGCAAAGTATTATGAACATTAGCGACGTTGTAACTAGGTTTAAACTTGCAAGTTTGCTATCACAGAGTGATCCTTATGTTCTTGTACTATTGTTTATTCTGTGGTAATAGTAATTGTGTTTTTAATAATTGTAGTTTAACAAATACAGTTCAAGCTAAAAAAGTACAAGAAATTTAAATGACCTTATGTCAAGTATTTTTTTTTCGTCTAATGTTTTAATATTTTGTTTGTAATTTAAAGTATTCTAATAGATGTTACTAATTAAAGTTCTATTGTATTTATTACTATGTTTCTTATTGAAATTTAAATTTAATTTAAATTTTTAAAAATGATAAAATATTATAAATTTTATGCGTAACTTAAGTAAAACATACCGTAACATAATCGGCTAGTTAAGTCCCGCCTGAGCGTGACTTAACGTCGTTTTCAGTCACCGTGTACTATAAATAATAGCAAATACTCAGGTCATAACGTTATTGTGCCAACGTCTATCCTAATACTCAAAGCCCGCTTTATGATGATAAGGTAAAAGTAAAGTAAAGTTGCAGCCTATTTACGTCCCACTGCTGGGCACAGGCCTCCTCTCATTTCTGAGAGGGTTTTAGGGCAAGGAATTGTCCACCGCGCTGCCCTAATGCGTGTTGTTGGCGAACTTCACATGTCTTCGAAATATTTTTTTTATTTCTCAGACACATAGGTAAAATTACAATTAATAATTTCATTGGTGACGGCGGGGATCGAACCCGGGTTGCTCGAGTACTGTGAAGCTTACAGCGAGCGCTAACCATCTGTAGCGGTAGCTCAAATGAGCCGTGGTATCAGAGTACACTAATAATATATCCAGAGCCGAATATTTGTGTTTTTGCACGAATGTTGTCGCCAGTCAGAATCCAAATATCTACGACCGTAGTATTAGGCACTCAAGTATAGTATAGGCAATTTGAATACTAAAACCGTGTGTACGGTTTTACGTTTGTAAAACGAAAATATAAAAAGAAAGTTCGAAGTTGTCGCGGCAAAATACCATTACCATCTAATACAGGTTTTAATCGTGATAAACAAATTTACATACTAATGTTATATAATAGGTTCCAATCGTTCAACCACATCTAACGATATAATAAATGCTTTGAAATTTTTAGTTCTTTCTACAAGTGGCCAGACTTAAACCATCGGAAAGGACTATTTCTTAAAAGGTACTAAATATTTTCTCAATAATTGATTCTAATACAATTAAACCCATTAAAAGCTTTTTTATATTATTACTGTTTTAAAAAGATATATTAGTTCATTTTTAATTATCTTTTATACGTGGCAGAGCAACGCTGTAGTGACATTATGGTTGTAGAACAAATGAGTCGACTTGACCGGGGAATTACCACGCTCTTAAATAATAACGATGCTGTGTTTCGTATGGTAAGTATGTAACCGGTGACCCCTTTATACTGGTAACGAAACTTCCCATCGTAGTCCTCAGAGGTGAGAATGAGTGTAATGTCCCTGGGCTACAGCATTCAGATGGAATGGGTACTCGTTTGTTACCCTTACTCAATAAATAAAAAATATTTATCAATAAATTTAACATACGAGAAAGAATAATTAGAATTTAAAATTACCTACATGTACGTTCCACTGATAAGAATATACGTTAATTTAACCGGTTCGAACACCCTGAATTGGCATTTGAGGTGTGCAATAATTCGATGTACTCACTTTTAATATTTTTACCGTTTTCTTTTTAAATGTAACTCTGTATTTATGGAAAACAATACAGTGTGAGTTCGCTAGCAAAAGATATATTGATGTGGATAGTAGGCCGTGCTGGTATATTTTCCATAACATAATATCGAAAAAAGACAAAGGATAAACATACAAAACCTAATATAAAATAAA